TGTGGAGCAGACCGGAGCCAGAGGAACGGAGGGTACGGGCAGGTAAGTAGGGGGATAATAGGTCGGAGAGGTAGGAGGGAGCGAGGCCATGAATGGCCTTGTAGGTGAGGATGAGGATCTTGAATTGGATCCTCTGGGGGATGGGGAGCCAGTGGAGGCGAGCGAGGGTGGGAGTGATGTGGTCGCGAAGCCTGGTGCGGGACAGTACACGAGCTGCAGAGTTCTGAATGACCTGCAGCTTGTGGAGGGAGGTGCCGGGAAGGCCGGCGAGGAGAGAATTCCCGTAGTCCAACCTTGAGGTGATAAAGGCGTGGACCAGGGTTTCAGCAGCGTGAGGGGTGAGGTAGTGCCGTAGTCTAGCGATGTTCCGGAGGTGATGGAAGGCGGTGCCAGTTGTGGCGCGGATGTGGGGAAGAAAGGACAGCTCAGGGTCGAACAGAACCCCGAGGTTCCTGATTGGCTTTGAGAGGTGGAGAGTGCAGCCTTGGATGCTGATGCTGTACAATGAATGGCACAACTAAACAGGTTTCAAAACAGAACTCTTTTATTAAGAATATAAACTCTTACAAAGATTGTTTCACATGTAGCATATCTGCCCCACCATTGCCATTTTGCCCCCAATGTCTGGAGCTCCATTCCTGGAGTCCATTACATCTTGCTCCCTCCCTCACTCCCCTCTATCAAAACATGTCAAGACAACAACAACAAGATTCCATTTATAAAGCGCCTTTCACGTCAGGAGGACGTCCCAAGGCGCTGGAAGACCTAACTCTTTTACCGTGTTTTCAGTTATCTTTCCCCTCCCCACTTCCCTCAGCTCTCACCCCAGCTCAGTTACCCAGCCAGTTAAGAGCTTTAAGACGTCCTTCCTACGTGAAAAAGGTGCTGTATAATTGTTATGTTATGTTGTTTTTCTTCATTTATGAGATGGAATGGGTTATGGAAATGTAAGAAAACAGAAACAGGAGGAAACCATAGAGCAAGTTCCATAGGGGCCTTCTACATTCAAACTTCTTAAAATCTTGTCAATGAGGAGAAAAGTAGCACCAATTTATAAAAGAAGGAAAAAAGATAACCAAGCAAGTAAGTCTGACATTTTTTGTAGGGAAACATTGGGGAACATCCTGGAGATGGAAACAAAAAGCACTTACAGAAATATAAATGCATAAGAGAGAATCAGTATGGCTTTATGGAAGCGAGATCATGCTTAGCAAATGTTAGGGGACTTCTTTGAAGGGATGATCTCCTGGCAGTTCCACCCACTTTTCTCTTCTTCTTCATCCAATCCTCCCCCACCTTCCCTGGATCCTCCCTCCCTTGCCCTGGCTCCGCCCATCTCCAAACCTTTGATTCTACTCAACCGCAAAACTCCTTCCAATCCCAAATCTCAGTTTCTCCTGAACCCAAATGTTCAACTTCTCCCTACTCCAAATAACAATTTGCATTTATAGAGCACCCTTCACATGGGAATAGTGTCTCAGAGACCTCCAATCATTCTTGACAAATCTAATAGAATTCTCAATAAAGGTAATGCTGTGGATATATAGTATATATTTATTTTCAAAAGGTTTTTGATAAGGTACCACAAAGGAGGCTTGTTGAAAAAATTAGGGTGGAATTATTTAATGGAAAAATAACAAAATAATAATAATCTTGCATTTAATATAACATCTTAACGCGTTGTTGAGACATCTCAAAGTGCTTCACTGAATATATGTGGTAAAGCAAATTAACTGTATATATTGTGGGTGAAACGCAGTAGCCAATTGCACACAGCAATGTACCATAAACAGTTGTGGATTATTACCCCTGGAAATTGAACACCAATCAACTAACAACCAGGTTCCCGTTTACTGATAGGTAAACAGAGGTATGGGGATCAAGAAAACTTGCCCAAAGTTTTGCCCCACCTGTGAATTGAGCCTAGGTCCTCTTGCAAGGCAAGCGCATGAACCATTACATTATGTGACTCTGGAAAGGTAGCAGCATCGATAGAAATTTGATTAAAGGATAGGAAACAGTATAAAAGAAAGTTGCTGTTGTTTTTAGAGTCAGTTTCGCTTCAGGAGGAGCTGGGGTTTGGAGTTGGAAGGAGTTGGTGTTTGGGATCAGGTTGCAACTAAAGAGTGCAAGGGGTGTTATTTGGAATGGAGAGATGTACCCTCAAAATATACCCTGTGTTAGGACCACTATTTTTCACCATTTATATAAACTATCCGGAATCCAGTAAAAAGCACAATTTCCATGTAAGTTTGCAGATGACCAAAAATAGAGTGTAGCTAACAGTGAAGAATATTGTAAGCAACTACACTGGGACATAGACAGATAAGTTGATTGGGCAGAAAAATGGCAAATGGGAAGTTTGTCTGCATTTAATTTTAATTTGCCATTTCTCTGCCCAATCAACCAATCTGCAGACATTATGGGCAGAAGAATAAGGAGAACAAGCATTTGCTGGGTAGTAAAATATTAAAAGGAGGCAAAAGGCAGAGGCACATAGAAGTTAATGTAAACAAATCCTTCGAGGTAGACAAAGCTGTCGAGAAAGTAAATGAAATTCTATGTTTTAGAAACATTGGTATAGAATATAAAACAAAAGAAATAATAATAATCCTTGTATTTGATATAGCACTTTTTCACGTCTTCTACACGTCTCAAAGCGCTTCACAGAGTATACTGTAAAGTGAGTTGACAGTATATTTGTGGGCGAAACGCGGCAGCCAATTGCGCACAGCAGTGTCCCACAAACAGTCGAGGATTGAAGTAACCAATTTTATTGCTTTTTTTTCTTGAGGGCTTATTATTAGGCGTGTGGGATTATGATAACGCTAAACCTATATAAATCATTAGTTAGACCTCAATTAGAATGTTGTGCCCAGTTTTGGTCGTCCCACTTTGGGAAGTTTTAGCTGGTTAGACTCCAGTAGTATCCCAACGCACAATCTGGGGTCTCCAAGCTTTGGCTCCTGCCAAACTGCGCCTAATACTTTCCGGAACTAGGTCAGCAGCAATCATCCCTCCGGGGAGAGAGTGCGTATTCCAATCCAACAATCTATCTCTGGGATTTCCATTTGTACTCTTAAGCATGGTAATCGGTACTCTTAAGCACGGTGATCAGTTTCCGCATGTGTCCAACACCCGGCTGACCCCAAAAAAACTTTAGGAAGGATGTCAAGGCAAAAGAGGAAGTGCAGATTTACGAGTATGGGTGGTTTGGCCTTTGAGCAGCGAATGGAGGAACTGAGGTTGTTTCCGTTGGAACAAAGGTTGAAGGATAACATGAGAAAGGTCTTTAAAATTACGAGGATTTTGTTTGATAGAGACAAATGGAAAAAATTATTTCCACTGGATTTCTGCCAGATCCCGACCCTCGGCTCCTCCCGATCTCAAGCCCCCAACTCCTCTGTTAGACCATGGCCCATGGCCCCGGCTCCGAGAAACATACAAATCCAAGGCACAGAAGACGGCCATTTGGCCCGTTGTGTCTGTGCAGTTCCCTGAAGAGCAATCCTTACAGTCTCACGCGCTCGCCCGCCCTTTCCCCGGACTGCTCAAGCTGACTCCTCTCCTGCACCCCGACTCCGCCCCTCTCACATCCTGGCTCCTCCCCTCTCAGACCCAGGCTCCTCCCATCTCACACCCCGGCCCCTCCCTCTCACACCCCAACCCCTCCCTCTCACACCCCGACCCCTCCCTCTCACACCCCGACCCCTCCCTCTCACACCCCAACCCCTCCCTCTCACACCCCGGCCCCTCCCTCTCACACCCCAACCCCTCCCTCTCACATCCTGGCCCTCCCTCTCACACCCCGGCCCTCCCTCTCACATCCTGGCCCCTCCCTCTCACACCCCAACCCCTCCCTCTCACACCCCAACCCCTCCCTCTCACACCCCAACCCCTCCCATCTCACACCCCGGCTCCTCCCTCTCACACCCCAACCCCTCCCTCTCACATCCTGGCCCCTCCCTCTCACACCCCAACCCCTCCCTCTCACATCCTGGCCCCTCCCTCTCACACCCCGGCCCCTCCCTCTCACATCCTGGCCCCTCCCTCTCACACCCCGGCCCCTCCCTCTCACATCCTGGCCCCTCCCTCTCACACCCCGGCCCCTTCCTCTCACACCCCAACCCCTCCCTCTCACACCCAACCCCTCCCTCTCACACCCCAACCCTCCCATCTCACACCCCGGCCCCTTCCTCTCACACCCCAGCCCCTCCCTCTCACACCCCAACCCCTCCCTCTCATACCCCGGCGCCTCCCTCTCACATCCTGGCCCCTCCCTCTCACACACCCTGGCCCCTCCCTCTCACATCCTGGCCCTCCCTCTCACACCCCAACCCCTCCCTCTCACCCTGGCCCCTCCCTCTCACACCCCAACCCCTCCCTCTCATACCCCGGCCCCTCCCTCTCACACCCTGGCCCCTCCCTCTCACACACCCCGGCCCCTCCCTCTCACATCCTGGCCCCTCCCGCTCACACTGGCCCCTCCCTCTCGCACACTGGCCCCTCCCTCTCACACCCCGGCCCCTCCCTCTCACACACTGGCCCCTCCCTCTCACACTCTGGCCCCTCCCTCTCACACACTGGCCCCTCCCTCTCACACTCCGGCCCCTCCCTCTCACACTCTGGCCCCTCCCTCTCACACCCCGGCCCCTCCCTCTCACACTCTGGCCCCTCCCTCTCACACACTGGCCCCTCCCTCTCACACTCTGGCCCCTCCCTCTCACACCCTGGCCCCTCCCTCTCACACACTGGCCCCTCCCTCTCACACTCTGGCCCCTCCCTCTCACACCCTGGCCCCGCCCTCTCACACCCTGGCCCCTCCCTCTCACACACTGGCCCCTCCCTCTCACACCCTGGCCCCTCCCTCTCACACCCTGGCCCCGCCCTCTCACACCCTGGCCCCTCCCTCTCACACACTGGCCCCTCCCTCTCACACACTGGCCCCGCCCTCTCCCAGCCTGGCCCCGCCCTCTCAGACCCAGGCTCCTCCCCCAGTGGCTGCACCAGGCTGTGCGGAGGCCTGTGTCTGTGTGTGTGTGTGTGTGTGTGCGGGGGGTGAACATGGCTCCTATCGGTGTGGGTGTGGGCTCGGGCTCCCGCAGACGGGCCGCTCAGTTGCCGGTGGCGAGTCAGCACAAGGGGGAGCGGCCGGAGCCCGAGGAGGAGGAGGACGACAACCTGTGGTAAGTGAGTCAGACTGCCCTCCCCGCAGTGACCAGCCCGGCACCCGGTCACCGGCCCCCGGCCTCACCCTGTCTGCCTCTCTGTCTCTCTCTCAGGTCCTCCATCCTCAGCGAGGTGTCCACCCGCTCCAGGTCCAAGCTGCCGGCCGGCAAAAACATCCTGGTGACGGGTGAGTGAGGGAGGGACGGAGGTGGAGGGAGTGACGGGTGAGGGAGGGAGGGAGGGAGGGAGTGAATGAGGGAGGGAGAGGGAGTGAGTGAGGGAGTGAGGGAGGGGGAGTGAGTGAGGGAGGGAGGGGGAGGGAGGGAGGGAGTGACGGGTGAGTGAGTGAGTGAGGGAGGGAGGGAGTGAGTGAGGGAGTGACGGGTGAGTGAGTGAGGGAGGGAGGGAGGGAGGGAGTGAGTGAGTGAGTGAGGGAGGGAGGGAGTGACTGAGTGAGGGAGTGAGTGAGGGAGGGAGTGAGTGAGGGAGTGACGGTGTGAGTGAGGGAGTGAGCCCCTCTCTCTGGGCTCTGGGCTCTGGGCTCGGCAGCCCCTCTCGGTCTGGTACCTTCTTTGTTTGCCTTCTCAGAGCCCTTTCTGGCCGAACCCCCCCCTTTCAGGCTGAGCCTCGCCGCCTCCCCCGCCCCCTGTCCCCGCGGCTCCGCACACCTCTCCGCCCGGTTTCCCCACCACTCGCTGCACATCCAAGAAATGTTCCTGTGTGAAAAACGCTGATGGTTGTTGATGAAGTCCTCCTCTCCTCTCCATCTTTTCCCCCTTTCTCCTCTTTCCTCTCGTACCTCTAACCCCCTCTGATTTATCCCCACAGTAGCATTGCTGCTGCCGCTGTTTAAAGCCCTTTATTCCATCCCTTTGTCAAGATTTTTCCAGTCTTGAGGTTTTTTTTAAAAAAAAAGAAAGCTTTGGTTCTCGAAACGAAATCACTTCATACCGACGCGAAAGTGTTTGGATTCTGTGGGTGTTGGGTGGGGGTTCAGGGATATCGATTGATTGACTGTTTTGAGTTTCCTTGTGCACATATCTTAACACTCATTGTGAAGCAAATCTATCCATTCCCTCAGGAGTCGAGGCCTAGAGTTGCCATGGGAACCCGGTTGGATGGACAAAAAAAGTCTACCACCATCCCGGCCCTTAGCGTTTTATTGTGCTTCTTGCATTATGTAGTCTGGTTTTATTTATAACCTGCGTGTAATGTTGCAAAATTGTTCTATAAACAAGAAGTGTTTTTGGTGCGCTATTTAAATTGATCTCTTTGGTTTAAAGGCAATGCGCCTCCCCCCACCCCCCCCGTCCCATTGTAAAATGTTTTTGATTTGCCTTCCTCATCCATCTCCTTTGTCAGTCTTGCAAAGTTCCATGGACATTAAAGATCCCATCCACCTTGTGAGGGCTCAAACCCACATTTGTTGGATCTCAAACAACCAACTAGTGACTGTCGGCCTTGATGGGGAGGTAAGCAGGGTCTCCTTGGAGCCGAAAGCTGAACTGGCTCCGAGGTGACCTGTTTAGCAAGGGAATGTCAGAATTGAACCAGCCCACTGTGGTTCTGTTGTCCAGTTCCTGAGCCAGGGGGGTTTGCGGTATTCCTGAGCACTGCTGATGACACCACAGCCAGCCTGACTCATTGGCAGCACTTGGAAGGGCAGACCAGTCATTGGCGGCAGGGAATCATCCCACTCACCCTGCTTGTCAAAGCGCTCACGGGTGGGTGGTCCTACTTGGACAAGCAGTTGGAAAGCTTGCCAGACAGTGCTCTCAATGGCAAGGTATGTGGTTTTAACTGGTTAGAATCCAGCAGTATCCCAACGCACACTCTGAGGTCCCCAAGCCTTGGCTTTTGCCAACCTGCACCTAATACTTTCAGGAATTAAGTAGCAGGATGCATCTCTCTAGACAGAGAGTACACATTCCATTCCAACAATTTATCTCTGGATTTTTAATGTCTAGGTAGGATGCATGGAATTCTCAGTTTGATTTGGATACTCTTAAGCATGGTTTACAATAATAATAATAATCCTTGCATTTGATATAGCGCTTTTCACGTCTTCTAGACATCTCAAAGCGCTTCACAGAATATGCTGTAAAGTGGATTGACTCTATATTTGTGGGCGAAACGCAGTATCCAATTGCGCAGAGCAGTGTCCCACAAACAGTCGTGGATTGAAAATGACCAATTTATTATTGTTTTTTGTTTTGGAGGGATTATTATTAGGTGTGTGGAGTAAGGAAACTTGCCCAAGGTTTCGCCCTGCTTGGAATTGAACCCAGGTGTCTCGCTTGCAAGGCGAGTGCTCTAAACACTGTGTCGGACACCCAGCTGACCCCAAAAAAACTTGTAAAGTGAAGGCTAGGATATTTTGACTTCAGAAAAAGGAGAACTGAAATACTGTATTGTATTAAATGTCAAGGAGGGGTAATATTTAAGTTTCCTCTTTGCAAATACTGTGTAATGTTCAAGTTGTTTGAGTTATGATCATGTGTTAGTAAATGAGAATACATGAAAGGGTAACTTGTAATTATGGATAGTTGGGAGGAGACTCAAATGATAGTACAACAACTTGCATTTAGACAGAGATCTTAACATAGTATAATGTCTTGAAGCACTTTATAAAGATGTAGAAAATGGAAGTGACCATTGATGTGGTCAGAGGTAGGTTTTAAAGGGGTCTTAAAGACAGATAGAAAGGGATCAGAAAGGTATGGAGATGCTGCACAATGAAGGGATTTATAGGTGAATTCAATCTGCTGTGAGATGGAGCCAGTGGAGTCTGGCAAGGAATGGGTGCTGGGTGTGCTGTGGGTGAATTTCTTGTGGGTAAATTTCATGTGGGTAAAGATGTCAGTGGTGGAGTTTTTGATAAGTTAGAGCTAAAATAGTGCACCTCAAGGACAGATTGAAGGCCAGCACAGGTGGGCTTTGAATGCAAGAACAGTATATGTGGGAACAATTCTTTGGGTTGCCTTCGTAAGGCAAATCAGCAAGTTGCATGGGGGAAGGGAAGTCCCATGACAATATTTTAAAATTAAACAGTTGTTATGAGACTGTGTGAAAACAAATACCCAGCTGTTAACACTGTTGCATCTGGGAGAAGTTTTCCAAATTGCTCACACTTCCCTGTTACTCTGCTAAAACCTCTGTGTGTACTGGAGCCTGTACTAACCCGAGTGTAACAATCTACGGTTGCATTGGTAGATGTGTGTTGCGTTGTCGAAGGTGGTAAAGATTAAAGATTTTAAAGATCTCATGGCACTACTCAAAAAGAGGAGAGTTTTTCCCGGAGTCCTGGCCAGCAAATCCCCCAAATAAAATAGGTAATTTGTTTCATGGCTGTTTTGTGGGACGTTGTGTGCACAATTGGGTTGAGCCTCCACAGTAAATCCTGTGCAGCATTTTGGGATGTGAAAAGCTCCATTCAAATGTAAGGATTATTATTAACGGTCAGCGGCTGGTGTTATTCAGCCACCACGCCCTGAAACTCTCCCTCACGCCCTCCACCTTGCTCCCTCCCTCCTCACTTTCATATCCCGCCTAAAGATCTTCCTTTTTGATCGTGCTTACGGTCTCCTCCCTTTCCCCCTGGCTCAGTATTAGACTCCGCTAATGTCAAGCTCTCCAGGACACTATCCCACGTGAAGGGAGCTATATAAATGCAGGTTGTTGTTGAGTCATTTCCCCGAAACTCGACTCAATGATTTAAGATCAAAGAGATTGATCTTGTGTGGCCATGCTTATCTGGAGCGGTCAGGGGTGGAGCAGTAGAACAGCAGGTATGAAGATCAGTGTTATCAGACAAGAGAAGAGAGACCTTCTTGATTATTTTCTGTACCATGAAGAAAAAGTAGCTGCTTTGCAAATCCAAATGTTCTAATTTGTTTAATTATTTATTTTTATAATATTCGTTTAATAATCAGGATGTAAATCTTAGTCTTTCATTGGAAAGTAAGCTGGTTTGACTGCTAGTATGTTTCTTTACTGATTTTGTAATGACAATTTTTCAAATTCCTGGTGTTTTATTGTTAACCTGGGTTAATCTGAGCTGGATTGTTTACATTACAACACAAATTTACATTTATATAACATCTTTCACATCAGGAGGACATTCAAAGTTTCTGGACAGGCCAATGTTTGGACCCCAGGTGTGGGTGGAGGCCAAGCGATTGAGAGGGGAAAGATGTTCAAAAACATGGTCAAAGAGGAAGAAAGTCTTGAGGCGAACATTGAAGTTGGCAAGGGGAGGAGCAAGGCGCAGGAACTCCAGGAGGAAGTTCCAGAGGGGAGGGTGGGGGCAGATACCCTGAAAGCCTGATGGTTGGGTGGGGGCATGAAGTGGGCCAGTGCCTACTGAGCGGAGGAAGCGTTCAGGTTGGTAGGGTTTGAGGAGGTCGCAGTGGTAGGGTGGGGCAAGATGATGGAGGAATTTAAAGGCTAGGACAAGGACATTGAACTGATGGGAAGCCAATGGAGTCAGGGAAGGATGGGGTTGGTAAGTTCTCGGAGGAAAGGACACAATCTGAAGAGTTCTGAATAATCTTTTGTTTGTGAAAGGAAAAGGTGGGTAGTCCTGCAAGCAGAGCGTTGGGGTAATCTAGTCTGGATGTGATAAATGCACCTATGAATGGTGCAGAATAGGTTTTGAAGGAGCAAAGCTAAGTACAGCTTTGTAGTGACCAAAAAAGGGACTACTGGGATGAGCTGTAAAATGGACAGTCGGTAATTTGGTGACAGTTGGTGTTTGTTAGGAGTTTTTCACATCATCTTTACAAAAGTGATGTGAGAAATCGTCCTACGTGAAATTCTCTGCAAATGCAAATTGGTGGTTGTGTTGGAGCATAGGGAATCCAACCAATTTTGGCAGTTCTTTGTCCATATAGCTAGCAAAGTCACTGACATTGCGCATATGAGAATGAATAGTCTAAATCCTCAGAAAGGGTTTTTGGCATTATAGCATTAATGTGGGCAAACTCTTCCAGTATTCCTCTGCTATAATTTTTTTTACCAGTAATGTGGTTAGGATGAAGTAGGCCTGTGCCTCTTTGATGCGTTGGAGAGATTGACAATTTAATCTAAATGAAATTATAAATGAACTGTACATTATGTCTTATTCATATTGCTCCAGTGGAAGATGTCATACCAGTAAAGCTGTTAATCAGCGCCTTGCTAAAGCGCAGGTTCTCTTTTAATATGGGTGTCAGTGGATCCACAGTTATGGATAGCTTCCCACAAAAAATGGCCATCTTCCAGAACATTCACTGGGTTGCCTCTGGCATTACCTCCTGTGCATACTAAATGGGAATGAGAAGTAAACCCAAAATTCTACTTTCACATGTGCATAGCAAGAAGACAAGGTCTATAGATATTTTTCTGTTTCAAATTTGAATTGCACCTGGAGGCAACATTTGAAATTTATAATAGTTATAGGTCTGTTTCTGGTCGTCAGAGGAGTGATGAATGGGCCAATAACACAATTATCTTTTTTTTAAAAAACTTAAGAAACCCAGCCAGGATTAAAGAAAGACTAATCACCGGGATTATATTATGAAGATTAAATATTTGTTTGGTGCTGCAAGATACTGTTGGAAACCTTTCCAGAAAATTGTATGAGCAGGCTAGCAAAAATGAATGCTTCATGAGCGTTTGTGTTTTCCATTCCAGAGGTCTTGTATTGTCAGGGGAAAGAAATTGGAAAAGTGAACTGACAGAGCATCGAAATCCATTTTGCAAAATGGCAGCCAATTGATCATTTTATTGAACTTCACAGATGGCATCAGTGTCATGAGTTCAGCAAATTCATGGAGCTCAGCTTTGCAGATAAGCAATTAGATTGCCCAGTGCTACAGTTAACTTAAATAGGATAACAATCTGGCCCCTCCAGGGGCCATCAATATAGCAAAATATTAAAAGATAGCTATCCAATTGCAATGTATACCTCAGCCCATTGGAGTAATTGGCATAGTATTGATTATAATACTGCTCATTGAGACATTTTATAAAATGGAAGACTGCAAATAAGACAATACAACTAAAGAATATGATGCACATCCTGTATTTGCATGCAAGTCTCAACAACAACAACTTACATTTATAGAACACTCTTGGAGCATGTAACAGCGGTGGCGCCCGATGCTGAAGGTGGGAGGGACAGGCAAATATGGAAAGCAATGTAATTGTAATGTCTGTACATACTTTCTTGTTTTGCGTTGGTAGTCAACAAGGCACGCGGCAAATGTTTTTCAAAAGCTACGTTCGAGTTCTTTGGCCAAAGCTTGGTTAGGATCCAGGAGTCCTGCCATTAACTGATCATTGCTTGGACCTATGTAAAACGAGAAAAGAACAGCTGGTGCTTGTTGGATAATACTCTTGACATCTAGGCTCCTATTAATGTAGATCATCCAAAACTCCACAGCTCGTGTACTCTCGCGTTCCAGGCTCCATGACCCCATCACTCCCACCCTCGCCCGACTCCACTGGCTCCCCATCCCTAAGAGGATGGAATTCAAGATCCTCGTCCTCACTTTCAAGGCCATCCATGGCCTTGCCCCCTCCTACCTCTCTGACCTGCTGACTCCCTACCAACTTGCCCCCTCCCTCCATTAAGCGGGCTCCGGTCTGCTCCATGTCTCCCGCCCGACCTACCCTATCATCGGTGGCCGGGCTTTCAGCCTCTCTGCCTCCATACTCTGGAACTCCATCCCACGGTCCAGTCGCCTCGCTTCCTCCCTTGCCTCCTTCAAGGCCAGTTCTAAAGAACCTTCTCTTCGATCGTGCCTTCAGTTGCTCTCCCACCTCTCAGCCTTCCCTCACCCCTACGCCACCCCTCCCCCATGCTCGGGTCCCGACCCCTGACTGTTCAGCGCTTTGGAACGTCCACCCGACGGGAAAGGCGCTCTATAAATGTAATTTTGCTGTTGTTGTGGTACAATCTTTGTGAGAAACATTTTTAATAATGCAGGTTATTGCATAGTTTGGGCAGAGCTGAACATTTGTGGTTTTCTCCATTCCCCAGGCCCCTGATATACTTGATGTGTATTTAATACCGCTACGTGATGGGGATTTTTTTAACTATTGCTTTATCTTTGCTCTCTTCCTTCCACTCCCACCCCCCTCCCCCCCAATAACCGGATGGGCTTTGCTTTGTAAAATATCGCTGCTTTTCTCATAGCAAAATGTATTATGTTGGAGTGCTTATTTGACACAAAATTACTGCAACCTCTAAAATTGATCCACAATTATTAGTCTGGAATCGGTCTGCTTCCTCAAATTTCATGTGTATTGCATAGCTGTGAGGAGAGGGAGAGACTGGGATGTTGGGGTTTGAAAGATGATGGTCAGATAGTTAGTGAGGACAGAGAGAATGGAGGATGATACAATCGAAGGGGGAAAGGAAATCAGTAGTTAAAATTTACTGGGATGAATTAGGGGAACAAATAATGGCAAATATTCCTACTGTATCTAAGAACAAAACAGTCCCAATGGCAGTGTAATAAGAGGTTCTGTTTGAACACAAGGTTTGCATGATTGGAGAAATAAAAGCCAATGGAATAAAAACTTGAAATGCATAGTATTAATTAATATTTAACATATTTGATAAAATATCAAATGCAAATGGAAGGATTATTATTTGAAAAAGGATGGGTTAATTGAGGTTTGATATAAATAATTATTTCTCACAATTTCCCTTTTAAAACCAGGAAGGTTATGAAAGCTTGTATTAAAATGCTGCCTGACATTTCCACTTCTCAATCTAGGCCTTCTGCCTTCCTCACCTAGCATACCCTCACCTAGCGGCACTGTAACCAATGTGTTTGTGGAGCATGTCATAATTTCTCGTGAATTGCAATAATATTTCCNTTTTTACGTTATTGCAATATGTAATGGTCCTGTAGCATATTTGTGGAGTCCTGTAGCTCAGTGGTTAGAGCACTCGCTTTGCAAGCGAGAGACCTGAGTTCAATTCCAGGCAGAGGGCGAAACCTTGGGCAAGTTTCCTTACTCCACACAGAGCCTAATAATAATCCCTCCAAAACCCAAAACAATAATAAATTGGTCATTTTCAATCTACGACTGTTTGTGGGACATTGCTGTGCGCAATTGGCTGCCGCGTTCGCCCACAAATATACAGTCAATTCGCTTTACAGTGTGTTCTGTGAAGCGCTTTGGGACGTCCTCCTGACGTGAAAAGCACTATATCAAATGCAAGGATTATTATTATTATTATTATATTGGTTAGAGCACTTGGCTCGCAAGTGAGAGGACCTGGGTTTGATTCTTGGACAGGGCGAAATGTTAGGCAAATTTCCTGACTACATACGTCTCTGTTTAGCTAGCAGTAAGTAGGAACCTGGTTGTTAGTCGATTGGCAGATTGCTTTTCCGGGGTAATAATCCCTTCAAAAATAAAATTTTAAAAAATAATTTGGTCACTCAATCCATGACTGTTGGTGAGACACTGCTGTGCATAATTGGCTGCTGCATTTTGCCCATAAAATATACAGTCAGTTCACTTTACAGTATATTCTGTGATGTGCTTTGAGACGTCTTGTAGACATGATAAGGGACTGTGTCAAATACAACGAATATTATTATTATCCCATTGCCTTAGTCACTCATCTGCTGATTTGTACTTTATATCCCTTTCTTATTTGTAAATCTTGGGAAATGCTTTTGGCTCCTTGGTTTTTAAAGCTATGATCTTCTGTTCCTGACGCTAACCCTTTTTCCATTCTGAGTATACCTATTTTTTTCTGTTTTAATACTGCTTTGGTTAAGATGGTTGTTTATAGTATGTTCCCATATCCTACAAGATCTAGGAACATACTATAGGTTAAGATGGTTGTTTGCAATATACGCCCATATACTATAATATATTCACTGTTCTATTATTGAAAACTAAACATAAGTGCTCCAGCACCAAGTCTCTAAACTGGGTTGGTCTGGGAACTAAACTGGCTGGGAACCAATTGCATCTTGTTTCTGATGAGCCCAAAGTGGCCATTGTATTTTCATCAGAATAAAAGCAACTGTCACTAGGTCAATGGAGGTGCGAGCAATATTGACCTAACAGTATTGATCACATAACAGTTTGTAGTATGAGATGATTAATTTTGGCTGAATTCAGTAGATGTTTAGGTAATGAGCCAACATTCTGTATCTTATTTCCTTCCTTTCCCCCTAAAAAAAATCTATAGGAGAAGATGGATCAGGCAAAACTACTTTAATAGCAAAATTACAAGGGGTGGAGGACTACAAGAAAGGGAGAGGAATGGAGTTTTTGTACCTTGATGTTCACGATGAAGACATTGATGGTGAGTGTTTTAGGAAGATGTGTTCCCACAATGATGGTTTTAGCACATGCTTTGTCCTTTAACAATCTAGCAAACTAAGTTTTATCCTTTAAATTGTTCGTTCATTTATTATCCTCATTTGTATAAAGAAATTTGAGGTACGTTAGATACGAGTTGTTAACAAGAATTGTCATTGGCTTTCTATGCTTTAGGTTGTTTTTGCACCTCAGAAGAATTAGTCAAAATGAGGTAGCTCAAACCAAGTTCAGAGCACAATATGGTCTGCAATACATCTGTTCTATTGATTAACATTGCCCTCGATGTGAGGAACTATTGAACTGCAAAATTTGATACTGGCCCATTAGAAGAAAAGTAAAGACAATGATTTCTACATTGTCAGGTAGAGAGATTGATGAGAAGATTCACAACTACATCTACAATTCCATATTTATTTAGCATCTTTCATGTCGGGAGGACATCTCAAAGAGTTTCACCGAGTAGGAAATCTTATTTAGAGGTTGCTGTTTGTATTATATTTTTGCTCCATTTGCATCAACATTTAATCTAAATATAAATTGTGATCTAGCACCACGTGGCAGAATCTTGCAGATTTATTGGCTTAACATTTCATTGCATTAAACATATATTCCATCCAACATGTGCTGATACTGAGGTAAAATAGACCTTGAAATATAAGGGTGCTTTTTTCTCTTTTTATAAGTGTTTGTTGCACAAACTTAAAGTTGTATGTGCCTTTGTATTGACTTTAAACAACCTATTGAATTGCAATTGAAGTTGGAAGGTCATCAGCCTTTGGGATGGATGTAGCTCTTCATTCCTTTTGAGAATATCCTGCAGATGAGCTGTTTTTTTCCCTGCAGTGGATTTGTTTGTGCTCAATCAATTTATAACTTTATTAGTAGTAACTAGGCTAAGTTCAAGCACAAAAAGTTTACATATTTGCTCAGAACTTTAGATATAACCTCCAGTGGTGTAGTTTTGCTCATTTCTTTTATGGATTCTTGTTTTACAGATCACACACGATGCAATGTTTGGATTTTGGATGGTGATACATACCACAAAGGTCTCCTGAAGTTTGCAATTACACCTGAGAATGTAAAAGACACTCTGCTTATTCTGGTGATGGACATGTCACGACCCTGGATAGCCATGGATTCACTACAGAAGTGGACCAATGTCATTCAAGAGCACATTGACAAGCTGAAAATCCCACCAGAAGAAATGAAGGAAATGGAACAAAAATGTAAGTACACGAAATTCAAGGTGGGCTTATAACAAATAAGTGGGTTTCATTTCAAATTATTCAAACATGTAGACAAAAGATATTTGAATCATGCTTGGATGTAGAATTTCAACTTGTAGACTGCACTACCCAGAGTAATTAAGCAGAAGTACACACTATTGTAGTATGCCCAAAATAGTGCATGACTGTTTGTAGGACATTGTTTTTTCTCATGTGTAGGTTAAAAGAGGCTGGACACATAACATCACTTCCTTCCAATCTCAAGAAGATTGAGTGGTGGTCTAAACCAGCAGTGAGTGTTATGGTGGACTCCACTTGATGACATTCATGTGGAGTCCTGTAGCTTAGAGGTTAGAGCACTCACTTTGTGAACAAGAGACCTAGGTTCGATTCCCGGCAGGGAGAAACGTTGGGCGAGTTTCCTTACTCCACATGCCTCTTGTTTACCTAGCAGTAGGTAGGAACCCGGTTGCTAATTGATTGGCGGATCGCTTTTCCAGGGGTTATAATTCCTTCAAAAAAAAATAATAAATTGGTCACTCAATCCACCACTGTGTGGGACACTGCTGTGTGCAAATGGTTACCACATTTCGGCCACAAAATATACTGGCAATTTACTTTACACTATATTCTGTGAAGCGCTTTGAGACGTCTAGAAGACTAATTAAGACTCTATATAAAACGCAAGGATTATTATTATTCACTTTGAAGAATTGGCAATCATAGCAAACTCACGTAACTGAAAATCCAGCATGTGATCATGTGCATTGCCTAATGAGTAATGCAGAGAATATAACTTATTGTTCATGGGGGCAGCATTTTGCCTTGGGCCAGACAGCAGAGTCATGAGCTCCTGAAAGTGAAGCCTTGTGCTCCGTTTATTCTATCTTCTGTTGTGGAACAAACTGGGGGCAATTCTGACTCCTCATGAAGGAGCCTGCAGTAGATTAACGACTGCCTTAGTAATATCATTTAAAGATCATTTCACCGTTGGCTGTACAAAAAGAGCAGGAAACAGATATCACTACAAAACAATTCTTTTAACCAGTAGTTTGAGTTGTTGTACTTGATCATGTCACAGAATAATAGCTTAAACCTATTTTATTCTTGAGAAATAAATTTTGTATTGTACTTAACGTGTTGCTTTGTAACTTGGTTCTGGATTGGGCCAGGGGCAGAAACTATAACTAAAGTGAATTTTGATCATCATGATCTTACTGGAATGTCCTCCTTTATGACACTTACTNAAAAAATCTACCAAAGACATAAGATTGTTTTGTTGCAACTTTGCCCTTCCAGCAATAAGAGATCAGCTGTGCAACATCTTGTTTATCCCAGATAATTGTTCATTGCCGATTAGGTCACTCATTCTGAGGTCAAGCTGGGAGAGCTTTAAATGGAGTAAAGTAACACGCACAAGGTTCTTCTGGATACAAAATCTTTCCCATTGCAAGTCAGAAATATATATTTGTCAAAAAATGTCCCATCTGCCTGTTGAGATGGACGTTAAAGATCTCATGGCACTACTCAAAGAGTACGGAGTTTCTCCCAGTATTCTGGCCAACAATTTCATGGTTGTTTGTACAATATTTTTTGCGTAATTGAGCTGCTGTGTTTGCCTACAAATATACAGTCACTCCACTTCATAGTCAAATTCTGTGGAGTGCTTTGAGACATCTTTCCGAAATGAAAAGCGCTATACCAAATGCAAGGATTAGTGTTGTAACAACAACAATTCTGATTTAAATAGCCCCCTTCATCTAGGATAACATCTCAGATCAGTTTACAATGGCTGATTTGGACACTAAGCAAGGGGGAGGTGGCCATATGCCCAGTTGAAGAAGTAGATTTTAAGGTGAGATTTAAAGACCAATTGAAGTGGTGCAAGGTGGAGGGGGTGGAGGGAGGGATTTCCAGTGGTCAGGGGTGTAGTGACAGAAAGCTTAGCTACCAATGCTGGCATAGAGGGGACTGAGCTAATTGGCAGAGGTTATGCAATAGGCCTGAGTTAAGAACAACAACAATTTACATTTATATAGCGCCCTTCATGTGAGGCAGCGTCTCAGGGAGCTTAACGGTTAACTGGTGGATGGGGCAAGCGGAGGAGTTGGGTACACTGGTCGGGTGAAGTGTGGCTGTGGAGGGAATAACTATCCTGTAGCCATTCTGTATTTACCCAAATATCTGAGTTCTTGTTTGAAGGATTGAATTAACAATATGAACTCTTTTTGCTTTGAATCAGTCCCATATATCTAATCTTTCCCTGTGTGCGGGAGGAGGGGGAGATGGTAGGAACTTTATTCTTTTAATCTTTGGACTTCCTTGTCTCTAAACTCTTATCTTTTTATTTCTCTACTCACAAACCAAGTTAATTAGGTTGCTTCTATATACATTATGTAGGCCTCTTGACTTTAAAGAAAGGTTTTCTTATTCCTACCCAATGTATATTCCAAGACTGGAAGCAGAGGGACCAGTACAAAGACACTTTATTCATAATGTGTCCACAACTTATTGAAGCTGGCATCTTGTCAAAACAACAAGATTACATTTATATAGCGCCAAAGAAAAACATAGAGCGCAGAGTACAAAAATGAAGGAGGTATTGTTGATCTTGTATAAGGTCTTAGTTAATAGCAGTTTATGATGTCTAATTCTTTTAGTACTGGTATTTATTTCATATGCCAGCTACTCTCTGTATTGATTGCAGTACTATTTATCTTTACATGTTTTTGTGTTGAGACAGTGGAATATATTACAAAAAATATAAATTTTGGAGGGTAAGTTTATAAGGCTGTAATTTAATCTCTGGGATTTATATTGCAGTAAGAATTCAAGAACCACTCCAGCTCTTTAGTTGTGGTTTATGAAGTCCTCTGAAACTGTGGAGCAAAGCCTTAGTAAGTAGGAACCCGGTTGTTGGTCAATTGGTGGATCGCTATTCCAGGGCTAATAATTCCTTCAAAAAAAATCATAAATTGACCATTTAAACTATGACTGTTTGTGGGACACTGCTGTGTGCATTTGGTTGCCGCGTTTCGCCCAGAAAATTTACATTCAATTCACTTTACAGTATATTCTGTGAAGTGCGTTGAGACACCTTGAGGACGTGATAAGGCACTATATCAAATGCAAGGATTATTATAATTATTTCTGGTTAACTGTAGAACCATAGAAGTACACAACATGGTGGAGAAGGCCATTCTCCTGCAGATTGAACTCAGAATAGCTCTATTGCCTTGGCGCTCCCTTCTTCTGCAACCGCTTGTGACTCTGCTTGAAAACACTGGTTCACTTAATGTCCCTATCTGATCTACCTTACAATCATACAGGAAGCTTTTGGCCATTCTGCCCAACTCTCCAGAACTCCCTCTGTCTTACTCTCTCCCTTGTCTTCAAAACCAGCCCAAAAAACTATTTTTGTTTTGTGGACAACTATTTCTTCTCTCCCCCACCCCCATCTTGGATTCCAAGTCAGCTATGTGAAGAGCGTTTAGACTTCTTCCCAAACTGACAGGTACTATCGTTTTAAATTTTAATTCAGTTATTTTTTCTAATTTAGTCTCCACTCCTGCTCCTCTTCATGCCGGGGAGGGCAGTTCCACAGGCGCTGGTTGTTCTCCAGTAACCGGCCAAAATGGCCATCGTTCACAAAATTCACAGTCACGTCACATTGCAGAAAAAGCACTTTTAGAGTCCTCCCTACATGAAAGGCAAAGATGACATCAAATTAATGCATAATTAATTAACTAATAATAATGGTTGCTTTTGATACTGTGCCTTGTCATGTTATTGAGCCATCTCAAAGCGCTTCACAGAATATATTGTAAAGTATTGACTATTTTGTGGGCAAAATTTGTTCACAAATTGTTGGTATAACTTGGGTTAACTTGATTCACTTGGTAGCGCTTTCACCTATTGAGTCATGTTGTGAGTTAAAGTCCCAGATTGGGACTTTGAGCTCATAATGTAGCTCAAAGTGCACTCCAGTACAATGCTGGCAGATCTCTGCATTATCAGAGGTACCGTCTTTCAGAGGAGTAAATTAACAATTTAATTGTAAGTAATCTTTTCCACTTTAAAACGTGTTAAATTATAAATAATTATAACACAGTGAACATTTAATTAAATTTCCTCCCTTAATGAAAACCAAGCTGCATATTTTAGGTTACCCTATTAGACAGCAAGTGTAGTATTGTTTTGAAATCTACCTCAACAAATAATAATCCTTGAATTTTATATGGCAGCTTTCACATTGGTTGGATGTCTCAGATTTACTGGGAAGTGGAGTGACTGTATTGGTAGGTGAACGCGGCAGTCCAATTGCGCATACCAATGTCCCACAAACGACCATGACCAATTTTTATTTGGGGGATTGCTGGCTAGTACACTGTAAAAGGAGATTCCAAACCATGACTTGAACTTGTTAACTGGTCATTTTTCAATTCATTACAAAAAGAAAAGCCTTGGAAAGCCTGAGGCCTGGTGAGCAAAAATTTAATGGAAAAAGGACAATGGGGGATTAATACTTAATCCATCTAGATTTCATTTTGAGCCAAACCAGATTGGCAGATTAATTCTAAAGTAGATAATTGCAATGAATTCTAAAGTGGATAATGGTGGAGTCCACATGGCAGTAGCTGTTCTTGCTGGGATCGTATTCTATGTATCCATAACTCTGTAAATAGCATCTTTCTAGTTTTGCAGTCATTTGTTTAACCAGATTAAATTAAACAAATCTGCTTACGTTCAGATTATACAGATACACAGGTGTCGGTCCTGCTCAGTGGAAGTACTCTTAGCTCTGAGTCAGAATCCTGTGGTTCAAATCCCATTCTGGGATTTGGTACTCACATAGTCCAGGTTGACACAATAATGTAGTGCTCAGGCTGCACTGTATTTTTGGAGGTGAGACAATAAACCAAGGTCCTATCTAAATATTCCAAATTGGTGGCAATATAGGCTGGTAATACAATCTTAAGGGGGGTGAAAGAACAGAGAGACCTGGGGGTTCAGGTAAATTAATCCTTGAAGGTGGCAGGACAGGTAGATAAAGGGCATATGGGATATAAATTTATAAATAGGGGCATAGAGTACAAGAGTCAGGAGGTTATGATTAACCTATATAAAACACTGGTTAGGCTTCAGTTAGATAATTGCGCCCAGTTCTGGGCACCACACTATAGGAAGGATGTTAAGGCACTGGAAAGGGTGCAGAGGAGATTTACGAGGATGGTACCAGGAATGAGGGACCTTGATTATGAGGAAAGGCTAGAGAGGCTGGGATTATTCTCATTGGAGCAGAGAAGGTTACGAGGAGACCTAATAGAGGTCTTCAAAATCATGAGGGGATTTGATAGGTTAGAAAGGGAAAAACTGTTTCCACTGGTGGGTGTGTCAGTGACTCGAGGTCACAGATTCAAAATAGTATCTGAAAGAAGCAGAGGGGAGGTGAGAAGAAATGTTTTCTGGCAGCGAGCTGTTCGAATCTGGAACGCATTGCTTGAAAGGGCGGTCGAGGCCGATTCGATAACTGCTTTTAAAAACGCAGTGGACGGGTATTTGAGGAGGACGGGTTTGCAGGTTACGGGGAAATGGCTGGGGAGTGGGATTGACATTACATTGCTCTTTTCAAAGAGCCGGCACAGACTTGACGGGCCAAATGGCCTCTTTTTCTGCTGTACGATTCTATGATTCTATGAGTGTTAAAAATCCCATGACACTATTTGAAAAGAGAAAGGAGTTTCTTCCAGGGCTCTGGCCAACAGTTCCCCAGGTAAAATTAGTCATTACCTCATGGCTGTTTATGTGCTGTGCTGTGCTGTGCACAAATTAGCTACAGCATTTGCCTACAAAATACAATGTCACTGCGCTTTACAATAAATCCGGTGAAGCGTTTTGATGAAGTGATAGGACATTATAACAAATGCAAGAATGCTTCTTGTTGTCTCCGTTCACTCTTTATTGTCCAATTAAATTAAGTCCAACTGCATATCTCTCTTCACAGTTTAAAGCCACAAGGTGTAGAATTGCTGCTTATCTGAACTCTGAGGTGTAAAATTCTTTTGAAATTATGGTGCCTAAATTAGCAAATCAGACGCGGCATGGACAAGAAGTTACACAGGTTAAAAACCTACAGTAAAAATAATGATCCTTGCATTTTAATAATAATAATCTTGTATCAAGTCCTACTTAACCAACCGCCACCATTTCTTCTCGGCAAATGGTTTCTCCTCCCACCCCCGCCCGGTCACCTGTGGGGTACCCCAGGGATCCATCCTTGGCCCCCTTCTTTTCCTCATCTGTATGCTCTCTCTGGGCGATCTCATCTGTAAACTTCCACATGTATGTGGATGACACACAAATCTACTTTGCTTCCTCCAGTACCAACTCCAGGTCCACCAATGTTCTATCAGCTTGTCTGGCAGACCTCAGGGCCTGGATAAGTGTAAACTTCATGCAACTGAATGTGGACAAGACAGAACCCATATTGGAGTTCTGCAGCTCAGTGGTGAGAGCGCTCGCCTGGCAAGCGGGTTTGATTCCCGGCAGGGTGAAACCTTGGGCAAGTTTCCTCACTCCACACGCCTGATAATAATCCCTCAAGAAAAAAAATAATAATAATTTGGTCACTCAATCCACAACTGTTTGTGGGACACTGATGTGCGCAATTGGCTGCCACGTGTCGCCCACAAAATATACAGTCAATTCACTTCACAGTGTATTCTGTAAAGTGCTTTGAGACATCTAGAAGACATGAAAAACGCTATATCAAATGCAAGGATGATTATTATTATTACTCTTTGGCTCCCGTCAACGTCTTCACTCCTGCGGATCCAAACTCCTCAACCTCCCCGGGCTCCCCGGGCTCTCCTACAGACTTGCCGGCAATCTAGGTGTCCAGTTCGACTCCCAGCTTTCCTTCCCTCCCACATCCGGTGCCTGACTGGGACTGCCTTCCTCCACCTCCGCCACATTGCCCACCTCCAGTGCAAGTTGTTGTATTTTATTTTCGTTACGAACAATTTAAAAATGCATCCCAGTGCTACATTCTTCTCATTTATTATCACTTCACGCTAGTTGCTATCCCCGTACCTGCACCCAAACCTTATTCTGTCTTTGCCAATGTAGGTCCATTTATTATGGGCACATTGAATCTTTTCCATTTTAATATGTGCAAAATTCAGGGGTCACTAGATAAAATTTTCATCATTTATATAATAATAATAATCCTTGTCTTTGATTAGCGCTTTTCACGTCAGGAGGACGTCCCAAAGCACTTCACAGAACACACTGTAAAGTGAATTGACTGTATATTTGTGGGCGAACGCGGCAGCCAATTGCGCACAGCAATGTCCCACAAACAGTCGTGGATTGAAAGTGACCAATTTATTATTGTTTGGTTTTGGAGGGATTATTATTAGGCTCTGTGTGGAGTAAGGAAACTTGCCCAAGGTTTCGCCCTCTGCCTGGAATTGAACTCAGGTCTCTCACTTGCAAAGCGAGTGCTCTAACCACTGAGTGCGAGTGCTCTAACCACTGAGCTACAGGACTCCACAGTGAGGATTATAATCGTACACTATAATATTTTGCATCGGGAGGACGCTTCGGGATTTGCTGTAACATATGCAGTGAATGGGTATTTTGTAATTGAATGCTGCAGCCAATTTGCACACACCAGTGTCCCACAAACCATTGAAAATGAATGACCAATTTTAACTGGGGGAATTATTGACACGATTAACGAAATGGCATTCTGCAATATACATTTCTATTTTTTATATCCCAGGACACTGGGAGAAACTTTCCGAATTATCATATCACCTGAAATCTCTTTTTTTTTCTCTTTTTACTTTCACGTTTTCTCTTTTTAATACATCTCTTCCGAGTATTTCATTACATTTTAGGCTCTGCACTTTGAAATGTTTCATTTTGTTTGTTATAGTGCCACTCAGTGGCAGGAATCCATTGCTACAACTGAATAACAAATTGCAATAGATATTTCAGGGCAATTGTGGAGGAATATAAAAGGTTTGTAGCCCAACTCCCAAGTCGCAGTACATCTTCTAATATGTTGGAACTCCAGTTTCATACATCTACTGTGTTTTATACCTTGGGTCTGCGTTCACAAGATCACTAGCGATTCAAGGAGAGTGATTCAGGTGACGAAGATCCTTAGGCCCATTTAATCTGTCCCTACAGTGCTTTCACCACAACATCAAGTTATTTTTTTAAATGAGTTCAACATCCTTTCAACCACCATTCTTGGTAGTCTGTTTTAATCATTAATTGCCCTTTGGGCCCAGAAGAGACTTTGAAATGTTTCATTTTGTTTGTTATAGTGCCACCCAGTGGCAGGAATCAATAGACCTTGCCATCCTCCTCCCTGGGAAGATAGTGGATAATTGGTCATTTCAGTTGTCATTTCTTCTCATTGTGTGATTAAATAAAAATTCAGGGAACTTTGTCTGAATATAAGCCATTCAGCTATCCCTGGAATCCAAAGCCCTAACGGGTAAGGTGGTCGTAGCTGGACAAGCAGTGGGAAAACTTGCCAACGATATCAGTGGCAAGCATTAGCTGGCTAGACTCGAGCAGCATCCCATCGCACTTTAAGGTCCCCAAGCCTTGGCTGTTCCCAACCTGTGCCTAATACTTTCTGGAATTAGGTAAGCAGGATGTGTCTCTCCAGGAAGAGATGGTGCATTTCATTCCAATAAACATCTCTGGAATTTCCACGTGTAAGTGGGATGCATGGAAATCTTAACTTGGTTTAAGAACATAAGAATTAGGAGCAGGAGTAGCCCAGTCGGCCCCTCGAGCCTGCCCTGCCATTCGATAAGATCATGGCTGATCTTCAGACCTAACTCTAATTACCTGCCGTATCCCCATATCCCCTAATCCCTCTATTTTTTAAAAAATCTATCAGTCTCAGCCTTGAAGATGTTCAAGGACTGAGCACCTACAGCCTTCTGGGGTAGTGAATCCCATAAATTCACTACCCTCTGAGTGAAGAAATGTTTCCTCAACTCTGTTCTAAAAGGCTGACCCTTAATTTTAAGACTGTGACCCCTGGTTATAGATTCTCCTACCAGGGGAAACAGACCCTCAGTGTCTACTTTATCAGCTCTTTAAGAATCTTATATGTTTCAATAAGATCTCCCCTAATTCTTCTGTACTCTAGAGAATATAGCCCTAGTTTATTCAGCCTATCCTCATAGGTCAGTCCCCTCATCCCAGGAACTAACCGAGTGAATCTACGCTGCACACCCTCTAGGGCAAGTATGTCCTTTTTTAAATAAGGAGACCAAAACTGCACACAATACTCTAGGTGCGGTCTCACCAGGGCCCTATACAGTTGCAGAAGACTTCCCTACTCTTGTACTCTAAACCTTTTGCAATGAACGCTAACATGCCGTTCGCCTTTTCAGTTGCTTGTTGCACCTGCAAACTAACTTTTTGAGACTGGTGTACAAGGACACCCAAATCCCTCTGAACACTAACACTATCTAATCTCTTCCCATCTAGAAAATTATCTGTTTTTCTATTTTTTATACCTAGGTGAATAACTTCACACTTCCCCACATTAAATTCCATCTGCCACCTACTCGCCCACTCCCCTGGCCTATCTATATCCCGTTGCAATCTTTTTGCATCATCATCAGAGCTTACTCTCCCACCTAGTTTAGTGTCATCCGCGAATTTAGATACGTTACATTCAATGTCCTCATCGAGATCATCGTTTGGATACTCTTAAGCATGGTGATGGGTTTCCACATGTGTCAGACACCTAGCTGACAAAACAAAGCCATTCAATCTGCTGAAACTTGCCCCTCTAGTGCAATAACTCTTCCACATAGTATCGAACTGTATTCAGAATAATCTAAGACAGTTACACAAATACAGAAGTGATTAATTCAGAATATTAAATGCCATTAATGTCTCAGGTAATTCAAGCCTAACCTGTTTTGTACCTACAGTGGTGAACGACTTTCAGGAATACGAAGAGCCAGGAAAAGAATTACCAGTGTCTCCACAACGAAGAAATACACCAAAGGAAACGAGCGAAGAAAGCGTGGTTTTACCGCTGGGTTCAGACACACTTACACATAATCTTGGCATTCCCGTCCTAGTAGTTTGCACAAAGGTTTGTGTATGAGTAAATGTTACAATTAGGTAACTTTTATTGTTTACTTGAGCAATTTATTCTGACTAGCAATTTAAAAAAACAAAAAAATTATTTTACGGGTGTGGATTGTGGTGGGGGGTGGCGGGGGCGAGGGGGAAGAAAAGGAAATTTGAACGTGCAGAATATTTTTAGAAATGTAGGTTTTAAAAGAAGTATTCATAACATAGTAGTGAGTATCTCTGCTTTGATTCCCACCCCAAGTTGCAGTGGATCTTTCTGGATAGTACTTTGCAGACCTATTGCTGCTTGTTCTAATCTGATTTCTGATGAATGCCATGATAGGTAACCAATTTTGTATTGTGAAGCAAGGTACACGAAGATTACGCAAAGCTGTTGAGCCACGGTGATTGATTGTTCATAATGAGAATCCCAAAAAGTCATGATTGCTGTTGCTGAAATGCAAGATAACATTTGGTCCATAATAATTATTAATCCTTGTAAGCAGGCAACTCAGTAATTGCTCAAAAATATGCTCTGTATACCAAACTTCTTATACTTACACATTTTAATGAATAATCCACTTAATTAGCAAACAATGCGTCCATTTCGCTGAGTTCCAGTATATGAAGTACTTTTGTTTTGCAAACTTTGGTGTAGTATACCAGCAGGTTGGAAAAGTGAGGAAGAGAAAGCACAGTGGCTGAGTGCCAATGTTACCCTAAATTTTGGGGGAAAAGTCTAGATTTTTAAGAGAAGGGAGACTGCAAAGTAAGGGGTTCCAGAGTCTTGAGTTCTGGGAGAGTAGTTTCTGGAAGAGACTGTTATGATTACAGCACAGCAAGGATGCAGGAGAGAGTCAAAGTGTATAGGCTTATACGGGTAGCTTGCAGGAACAAAAGATAAAAGTTTGGAGAACTATAATATTGATAAAATAGAGAGAGAATGGAATGATGGTTCTAGATCAGGACAGTGTAGGGCAGGATGCATCCCTCCTGGCAGAGATTGTTGTTATTCGAACAAATATCTCTGGAATTTCCATGTATAGGTGGAATGTATGGAACTTGTTTGTTTTGGAAACTCAAGGACGATGGGCTGATCCTTTCAGATCAAACTAGAAATTTGATTTCCCACAAAACAGAGACGGTTACTGGAGTTTAATTTCTGCAAATGTTTGGCTTTGTCTTGATGCAATTTTTATTTTTAGCCATGATGTAGCTTCATCAGTTTGGCTTCGTTGGTAGCACACTGAGTCAGAAGGTTGTGGGTTCAATTTCCACATTGGAACTTTGAACTCAGTTTAGGCTAACGCTCCAATGCATTGCCGGAGTCCCTGATCTTTGGATGAGATGTTGAATCGAGGTCCTGTCTGCCGGTTCAGTGTCAACCTCGTCTCCTTCCTTCCGAAGGGCTTACATGTTCGATGCTGAACAACAAATGTACTCAAAATGTAGAGTATTAGAATCAAGGTTTATTTCAAGTAACAAGATCAGGCTACATAAAAGTGACGATAGCATTAGGATTCTCTGACTGTTCTGGTCCCTTCAGACTTCCCTCTCGACTGTTCAGCTCCCCTCAACTCCTACATCCTCAGTCTGTTCTGCTCCCTTCAGGCCTACATTCTCCCAATCATTGCTGGAAAAACCTCTTCCTTATATCCAAAAGTATCCTAGACTTGTTTTTCTACGGAACCCTGAGAACTTCATGATCTGATTCCTACGAGGCACGAAGTTATCAATGTCGACTTATTGCCAAGGACCTCTTTATCTTTTTCCTTGAGCCTCCGTAACTTCACACATTCCTCTGGGTGCCTTGTTTGAATGTTATGATCAACAAATGGTTTATTTATTCCACATGGCCTTCTCTGTGTCTACTGTGGTTAACTGTTGCAGTGCCAATACATCTGACATTCAGGTGGACGTTAAAGATCCTATGGCACTATTTGAAAGAGGAAGAAGTTTCTTGCAGTTTTCTGGCCACCAATCCCCCAGATAAATGTTTGTTTGTAGGACATTGCAATGAACAAATTGGCTTTCTCATTCGCCTACTTTACAGTAAATCCTGTGAAATGTTTTGAGGTGTCTCAATGACGTAAGGTGCTACCACATGCAAAGATTATTATTATTATAAATTGAAAGAAAAACTGAAATCGATAAATACAGGGTAATCTGAGAAAACCTAATTTAGACCATATCAACACATCTAAAGCAAATTTGTTTTTCTCCTGACTCAAAGCCACTTTGACTAATAACCGCAGTATTCACCAAAGACAAATTACATTTGTACAGGGCTTTTCACTTCAGATGGATGTCCCAAGCACTGGACAGTTGATGGTTTGCACCTGAGCTGGGGGTTGGAATCGAAGGGTGTATTGGGGTGAGAGGGTGTTCGGAGGAATGGTCAAAGAGGAAGTTGAGACGGGCCTTGAAGGAGGCAAGGTGGTAGGGATTCCAGGATGAAATTCCAGAGGATGGGGGCGGAAAAGCTGAAGACCCAACTGTCAATGGTGGGGTAAATTTACATTAAAATTCACTGTCGTAACCTCCATCTGCAATACAGTTTTCCATTTTTTTTCCACATGGAAAGAGGTGATACAATGATTACTGGAGACTTGGAGTATTCACTTCTGACACTGAGCTATTATACCCAGTACATCAGAGAACTGAGTAGAGGTCTAAAGGCTGTGTTACATTGTGTGTATTTTTATTTACAGTGTGATGCCATTGGTCTCCTAGAAAAGGAACATGACTACAGAGATGAACACTTTGACTTCATTCAATTAAATATTCGCAGATTTTGCCTAAAATGTATCCTTTACTCTGCTCTCATTAGAAATTGTGTGCTTTTTCATTCTCTTCAGTATTGAATATGACATAAAAAATCAAAATGTGGAAGTGATATACAAATATAATACAACAAATTTACATCGATATAGCACCTTTCACGTCAAGAGGAGTCCAGGGTTTGGACTTTATATCTTAAAAGAACCTTTATAAATCTGTTTTCTTCAGTATCCACCAACTACAACTGTGTTCACCACCAGATTTGCAGATTCTATTTACACTATCCCACAAAGCTCTTCACTTCTCTAAGAATCAAAAGATTTGTTGCTGTAAAGGAATCACTTCACAAAAGGTGGTTTACAGTTCCCATTACATAGTAATATAGTAATATAGAAAGTAATGTTTTGGAAAAGAAAGTTCTGCCTTTGATGCTAATATTATTTTGTAATACTCAGTTTTATGTACTATGAAGTATTTTAGAAAAAAATTCCTTTCATTTTCAAATCTTATACATCCAAGAAGGTTGAAATGCATGCTATCCTAAGTAGAATTTACGTAAGATCTGCAAATGACACCAAATTTGATAGCGCATGTTTTAATACTAACCAGGTCAAAAAAATTATTTTACAATGTGTTATTCCATAGTTCATTGAATTACTTCATTGTACAATTCTCCATAGAGATCCAACACGAGTATGATTTTCAAGCACTGTTGTTTTGTTTGAGTTTTGTACGAAAGGTAACTTGTTTTCCAGATCATAATCATCTAAAATTATTGTTGTCTGGGTGATATGTTGCCCAAGCTTCAGGGTTTCCACCTCTAGCTGTATTCAAACTAGATATTCAATTCACAAAATCTAGAGTTCTGAATAAGATTGTACCTCTATTTAATAGAGGTCAAGGCACAGATTAAATTGATCTTTCTTATGCATGATCCCTTATGTGACTGAATGTTGATTGCAACATATACTTCAAAAATATCACCGGAATTGACACACCTTTTCAATAGTTTCAAGAAACAAAACAAAAGTGTTAAATATGGTTAAATATTTGCAGTTTTTGAAACTAATACAGTTAAGTAAGTAGAGCTGGGAATGATGATCTGTAGTCGGAACTGACCATTGATAACTTGTGTAACGAGTCATCTGCTTTGTCATTTTCTATGTGCAATAATATCTGGTGATTTTAGAAATTGGTTGTTGCATGAGAGTTTTCTTCTGTTTTTTCCTTAATTCAGATGTTTTAGATGGTGCAGCACTTATTTACACTTCACTAAAAGAAAATAAAAATATTGATTTAGTGTATAAATACCTTGTCCATAAATTGTACGAGTTTCCTTTCCATTCATCAGTACTAGTCGTGGAAAAAGACGCAGTGTTTATGTAAGTCTGAAGCTTATTGCAACCATTGGGTTCTGATTATGTACGCTAAGTATTCTTTTACTAATAGGTAGTGTCCTTGAAGTGGAAACTATAAATTTACATTTATTTGGAATTGTTATCAATTCCATTTGCTGTCACCAAGTTATTTTTCATCTTGTTCAGTTCTAGGATGCTCACACTAGGTGGAATTTGAGTTCTTACACTGTTTTAATGATTGCTTTTGATAAGGGTAAAATGGATCTAGTAGTACAACAACTTGCATTGTATAATGCCTTTCATCAGAATAGCGTCTCAGAGAAAAATTCCAGTTGCACTGCACCATAGCAAACTGATTCTAGAAGAAAAGTGTAAGAAGGCTGCTGTTTGCAGTTGCTATAATTTATTTTTGTAGCAGATAAATCTACTTTTTAGGTCTGGTTTTCCTTCATACTATGCTTTGTTATGAAAGATTGATGCATGTTTTCATATAGTCCAGCAGGGTGGGACAATGAAAAGAAAATCGGAATTTTGCACGAGAACTTCCAATCCTTAAAAGATGATGACAATTTTGAAGATATCATTAGCAAGCCTCCAGTAAGAAAGGTAACTTGTTTTCCAGACCATAATCATCTAAAATTATTGTTGTCTGGGTGATATGTTGCCCAGGCTTCAGGGTTTCCACCTCTAGCTGTATTTAAACTAAATATTCAATTCACAAAATCTAGAGTTCTGAATAGGATTGTACCTCTATTTAATAGAGATCAAGGCACAGATTAAATTGATTTTTCTTATGCATGATGCCTTATGTGACTGAATGTTGATTGCAACATATACTTTAAAAAATCACCGGAATTGACGCACCTTTTCAGTGGTTTCAAGAAAGTAATAAAAATCTGAGGTGATATCTACAGAAAAGGCTGATGTAACAAATAGTCATGTTTGCTCTAGAAATTGCACATTTTTCTAGGTGTCTGACTCATGCAGAAAGCCCATCACCATGCTTAACAGTATCCAAACCAAACTTTGTTCCAAATATGTATGCAAACTACCCTTGTAAATTTCACTATATGCAAAAATTACCAAATCTAAGGATTTTTATTAATACAACTCATCACATCACTTATGTATTATAGGTTAACTTTTATTTTTTCTTATAGTTTGTGCATGAAAAGGAGATTTTATCAGAAGATGATCAAGTTTTTCTTATGAAGCAACAGGTAAGATACAGGACTGCCCTGTTATATATAGCATGTGTTTTGGATGCATAAAATTAGGCGTGACATAATATGCCGACGGAAAAATGGGCCGCTTACTGGTCATCCTGTTCCAGGGTGGGGAGGAAGTAAGCAGGGTCTCCCTGGAGCTGAATTGGCTCCAAGGTAACATGTTTGACAATGGAATGTCAGAATCAAGCTATTTTTCTGTGGTGATCTCAGTAGTCCAGTTCCTGAGCCTGGCTGTACGCCAGGGCACTGCTAATGACAGGCTGGTTCATCGACAGGACTTGGAAGGGCAGACCAGTCACCTGGAGGCAGGGATTTTTTCCACACAGTTTCCGTTAATTTTGCAAGCTAAAGCCCTAACGGGTAGGTACTGCACTTCTCGTAATGACTAGACACCTGCATAACAAGTGAATTTGTGTTCTCGTGAGGCACCTTGTAATGCAATTGCCCTGTTATAGTTAATACATTTTTTTTGATTTGTGAAAGGTTCAGACTCTTTGAGTTTGATCTTAGCTTTATACTGAGAGTTTTTCCCCTGATATCCTCTGGAGGCAAACTCATATTATGAAAGCAGAACTCGTAAAGCAAATTCATAACGTGAAAGCAGAATAAAGTGAAGTCAACTATGAAAGGTATTTTATGAGAAGGGTTACTGAAATAGTTACTGAGCTGTTTGTCAACACTTTGCTTAAAACCAAATCCAGTGTGCCTACATCAGTGCACCATGCAAAATATTCATGGATATTTGCAAAGTAAGAATTGGTAGTGGTTCCCCTGCTTAGATTATTTTGATGGTCATTAACAATCCAACCCAAGAAAAGTCTCCAGGATCTTTTTAGTCTGTTGCCAGATTTGCAAAGCAATGAAATTCCTAACTCAGGAGATCTGGTTGAACAGGTTGGGATCTGGTTGTTCTGGTTTGCTAACCTCATTAAGGGCATCCAACTCTTGTATGGGCGGAACTGACAAAGAGGCCTCCAATTTTGGTGTCCTGAAAGAGGAGTTGGAAAGAGGAGAAAGGCAGAAAAGAGCAGCTTTGCCTGCCATTACCTCAATGCCTCCTAGGGCACATATACATAGGCCCCTTTGAGTGGGTGCACAGATGGACTTCAATGTGGTAGGATCATCCTTGGTATCCCCCTAGTTCTATTTTATGTTTTGTCTGCCACTTTTGATTCAACATACATTGTACTTTGGGTTCCTCCACCAGGGTTGTAGGGAAGCTGGGAAACAGTTTGAGCTCCAAAAGAAGTCCATGCTGACCCATTGACAAATCGCCATCTCTTTGCCTGACTTTGGCACAGTGCTCGCACATGGGGCCTCTTGTGAAAGCAACTAATGCAATGCAACTTTCTTCCTCAAAAAATGCTGAGCTATGTGGATTAGGGCTAGGATGGTCAACTCCCCTCTCCTATGCTGCAATTGGATATGTGACGAATGGTGTCATATTAGTATTGCACATTCCGCATGATTGTCGATCATGTACCAGTCAACTCAGCAATGTACAGTATATGGGCACCCAAGGTGGAATTGATGTTGTTATTCAAGCTTTGCAAGTAGCACTGATAAAAATTTTCAGGCGAGGCACAAGTTCTTTCTGTGCATTGAATCACCTTTGTCTGCAAAGCCTGACTATCCTCTTTGGGTGGGGTGGGGGAAGAGTAAGCACAATCCTTTCAGAGCTGATCAGGCTCTGGTGGTAATGTGCTTGATAACAATGGCAGAATCGAATCAACCCTCTATGGTGGTCTCAGTAGTCCTATTCCTGAGCCAGATGTACTACAATACTGTAGGGTACACCTGACGACGGACCAGCAAAGCTGGCTTATCCGCAGGACTTGGAAGTGCAGACCGGTCGCTGGGAGCAGGGAATCTTCCCACTTAACAAAGCTCCTGTTAACCCTGCAAGCCAAAGCGCTAACTGTCCTAGCTGGACAAGCAGCTTGCCAGACAGTCCTCTCCAATCCAGTTTTAGTTGGTTAAACTTCAGCAATACTGTAGCACATACTGTGGGTTTCACAAGCCAAGGCTCTTTCCAACCTGTGTTTAATACTCTGGGGATTATCACAAGATTGGTTTGGATGAGGAAGGCCCTTTGGCCCATCCGATTCATCCTTCTAAAACACTCACCCTCCCTCCTGCCCCATCACAGCATCAAGCATGCTTTTTAAATGAATTTTGTGTCCTGTCTCTACCACCTTTCCTGACAACCTGTTCCTGTCATTGGTTACTGTAAGCAGGGCGCGTCCCTACAGGAAGAGAGCTCACATTCCATCCACGCAATTTTCCATGTTAACAACAACAAAATTACAATTGTATAGCACCTTTCACGTCAGGAGGACATCCCAAGGCACTGGACAGGCAGTTTGATTAATCAATTAATTAATTAATTAATTGATTGATTAAGTTAATGAATTAATTAATTAGTTGGCATATGTAAGTGTAACTCTCTCTGGCTTGGATACTCTTAAGCATGGTGATGGATTTCCGCAAGTGTTAGATACCCAGTCAATCAAAATAAATCTCGAGCTTGTACTGCCATTGGAATATTTGAGTCTATGGGGACAAATCTCATGGTTTATAAACTTGCTGTTTTAATCTAATATTAAGTGTTCTGGGACGCAACCCTGCGTGAAGGGCGCTATATAAATGCAAGTTACTTTGGATTTAGTTTGCTGCTTCTGTATGTGTCTTATTCAGAGATTTCTGAAATATTACTTTTTTTTATTTTGCAGTCTTTCCTAGCAAAACAGCCACTCGCAACAGGAAGACCAGTGGTAACTATACAGTTTGACATTGTGCATATGTTTGTCTCTTTCCAAATTCAAATGACAGAAGAACCTCTTGTTTTTCCCTTCTTTCTCTTTTCTTCTCCCACGTCACTGGAATTTCAAAACTCCCAATTCAAACACTGGGTGCATTGGTTTTCAAATTGGTCACCTCAGGCAAGCAAAATTCTAATCTGGAGGGCTGAAACAAATGTGTTAAATCTCCACTACTCAATCATGAAGAAAATAGTTCTCAGTGTAGTAAAGCTTCTTTTTGGGCAGCTATGCTATTCACAAAGCAGTTGTAGCTCTTCTTCACTGTTCTACTTTCTGAATTTATGGAATCCACTAACTGGAAGCAATTTTGCTGCTTTATAACCTGTTTATGGATGTAAAACTGTTCATTTTTGCCCTCACTTAATCAATAAACACATAAACCCCTTGTAGTTCTTGATAGAAATCGCTCCAATACGATTCGAGGGAATGACATTTACTGAATTGATTAATTAAAAAAATTCAATTGTCTTCATCAGAAATTGGATGCAAAATGTCTTTGAGGTTGTAGTTTTCAATTGCTGGTTATAGAAAAGTTTTCAAATCGTCCATATTAAAAAAAAAGCGGTGTTCATTACAATTCAGTCAATGAGTAAATAATTCTGAGAACCAGCAAACCAGTTTCATTTGTTTTCTGAGTACATAAACCCAATTATGTTTTAATGTCCATCAGCTGGTACTCACTTGTTGGAATGAAATCGATCTTCCGTGGTGGTCTTGGTAGTTTGTTCCTGAGCCAAGTGGGTCCGCAGAATTCCGGGGTACTGCTGATACCAAACCAGCCAGCCTGGCTCAAAGGCGTAAACCCGATTAAATTTTAATGTCCATCAGTTGGCACCCACTTGCTTCATGTCCCCTGTCCTATCATCAGCAGGTGGGCTATTAGTCTATTTGCCCCCACACTTTGGAACTCTGTCTCAGAGTTGCTCAAGACCTTCTTCTTCGTCCACATTTTTGGTCATCTTTCCCCTCGAATGAGATTTTGTACAAGCAGCTAATATTTTAAATGTATAAATAAAGCCACACTATATTTAACAAAGACATTAGGTTCAATAATGTTATAAATGGTTCAATGGTAGTGTAGTGTAGCTGACTTTTTAGTTTGAATTTAGATCAATAGTTTATCAACCAGGGTAAACCTCGGAATTTGTAGCCACATTTCTTCAGCCTAAATAGTGCTTACTGATTGTTTTTGCTCAGGATCCTTCAGCAAGAATGCCTGGAAGCTCTCCCAGGACACCAAGTCGATCTGGAGCTGGCAATGTTGTTAACGTAACTCCTATTTCTGCAGGAAGTAAAAAGATGGATCCCAATATCAAAGGTAAAGAAAACTTGGGAGTTGTTGGTCCACTAATACTGAAAATCTTTTGACCATTCAAAATGAAAATGTACTTGTTTTAAGGAAGTTAGACAAATGTTGCTATATATTTTTAAAACTTGAGATACATATATAGAGATTTGATTGTCCCTCTTTGCCTGCTTGTCTGACATCAAGGTCTGGATGAGTGCCAACTTTTTGCAGCTGAACATGGACAAGACAGAAGCCATCCTATTTGGCTCCCTTCAACATCTGCTCAACTTTGATTCTGAAATCCTTAACCTTCCCACCTATCCCTCAGGTTCACTGAACCTGTATGTAACCTTGGCATCAGGGTTCGATACCCAGTTATCCTTTCTGTGTTCAAATCTCTTCACTTCCTGGCACGTCCCTACCTGTCTGTTCATATGCCACTCCACTACCCGTTGCCTTCACTGGCTTGAGTCTTTTGCGCGTCCCTCTTTCCCTGTGCTCCTCCATTGGCAGCCATGCTTTTAGCCACAATGCCCCAAATGCTTCGAACTCCCTGCCTTAGTCCCTCCATCTTACAACCTGTTTGCCCGTCATCAAATGACACCTGAAGACTTTCCTTTTCGATTGTGCTTTTGATCATTTCCCCTCCTTCCAGCTCGGTGTCAAACCACACCATTGTTAAGTGCTTTGAGACACTACTAACTTAAAGTGATTTAAATAAATGCAAATTGTTGTATGGAGTCTCGAAATTATGCAACTATACGGAGCCTTTCTGCAATTAGATTAACTTAGTTTTAATCTGGCATTGAAACACTTGTTTATTCCTTGATTTAATCAAGTAATTCTTACACAAAAAGCACAGGTAATACATTGATGTTGTAATAGTTTCTTGCCAGGCTCAACTGGCTCCCTACTCCCAAATCGCCTTTTAAATCCTCATCCTTTGAATCCCTCCACTGTCTTGCCTCCACCGTACCTCAGCAATCTCCTTTGGTCCTACTCCCCCTGCTCGCTCTCTTCTCTACCAATTCAGGCCTGTTTTTTCTCCACACACTATCAGCAGACAAGCAAGCTTTCATTCCCCCCAACTCTGTAATACATTCTTCCAAAATACCTTGCTTGGTCTCTCCCTCACTTTCAAAACCTGTCTAAACGTCTCCTTGATTATACCTTCGGCATCTCCTCCTAGGTTCCACCCAGCTCAGGCTTTACTGTGTCTCTGTAAAGTACTTTGATACGGTTTCCTGTTCTTGTATATGCGCATATTAATGTATTGTGTAGTGTAAAGTTCTGCATAATACACAAAAGCAATGTGGAGTCTTGTAATGTGCTATGAACTGTCAGTTTGCCAGTAGTCATTTTCAATCTACGATTGTTTGTGGGACACTGCTGTGCGCAATTGGCTGCCGCGTTTGCCCACAAATATACAGTCAATTCACTTTACAGTATATCCTGTGAAGCACTTTGGGACGTCTAGAAGACGTGAAAAGCGCTATATCAAATGCAAGGATTATTATTATTAGTCTGACAATGGCTCTATTTTTCCTTGTCATTCCATTGCTTTAGTACAGGTACAAGTCTAGCAGTCGAGTTTGTATCATGCAGTTTATTCATAGATTCATAGAATGTTACGGCACAGAAGGAGACCATTCGGCCCATCGAGTCTGTGTCGGCTCTTTGACAGAGCAGATCACTTTCACTAACCCCAATCACCAGCTTTCTCCCCATAACCCTTATAAGTAATTAATAATAATTAATGTAATAACTTATTAGTTATTACAGTTCCGTATTAATAAACCTGGTTACCAGAAATCAAGTCAGGGCACTTTCTCCAGCATTATATTATTGCTACTCCCCCAACATTGAACACACATGTGCCTAATTTTAGTACCTGACTTCTTTTAAAACATATATTCACAAACTGGCCATTGATGCTGCAAATTCCACTGAGCTAAGACTCATTGACTTGCACAGTTCCATTGTAAATGTGTGATCATTAGCAAAGCCAATTACTCTAAACATTGCTCTAGATTTAAATCTCTTCCAAATCCCACCCCAAATTGTTTTAAACATTAAACAAACACTTTACCATTCTGTTTTAGAAGTTAATAGGATCTTTTTCTTTTGCCCTTCTAGGAGCTGCAAGTGAAGGAGTCTTGGCAAATTTCTTCAACAGTCTTCTCAGTAAAAAGACTGGCTCTCCTGGAGGAGGTAGCAGTGGTGGTGGTGGTAGTAATTTACAAGGATCTGCAAAAAAAGCTGGTAGGTAATTTATAACTGACAAGATTGACTGTGCTGGAATGTTTTGAATCTTCCTGAAAGAATCTTCTCAAATTCTTTTGAAAAATTGCTTTCGCCCTCTGACTCTTGCTGGCTATGTGTTCCCCACCTACTACGAGTCACCATTAGTGGTCAAGCCTTCAGTTTCTACACCCCTAACCTCTTCAGTTTCTGCTACCCACTACACCTTCACCTTGCCCTCTTTAAATCCCACGTAAAAACCACCTCTTTATCTGCACTTGCGGTCATCTCCATCTTCTCCCTCGCTCAGCATTTGACTATGTCATTGTGAAATGCTCTGAGGCATTGTCCTACACGAAGGCACTATATAAATGTAAGTAGTTGTTCTTGTTGGACATAGCACATCAGTATTTGAGGCATTTGTTTTGATCATAAAGAAAAGTAAGTTCCAGTTCAACGCTTCTATCCAGTTGGATGTCAACTAATCAATTTATGACTGCCCTCTTTGAGAGAGATGAGTGAATTTTCCTCCAGTATGTTGTGTTTGGCAACAGAATGTCAGAATGAAGTCAATCTTCCGTGGTGGTTTTGGTAGTTTGTTCCTGTGCCAAGTAGGTTCGAAGGCAGTTTGCCAGACAGAGCTCTCAACAGTCATGTGGTTTTAGCCAGTTAAACTCCAGCAGTAGCTCAATGCACACTCTTAGGATCCCCAAGTGTTGACTCTTGCCAATCTTGCTGGACCTACTATTTGCTGGAATTAGATAAACAAGGTGCCTACCTCTAGGGAAAGATTGCCCACTCTATTCTAGACATAGGAAAATTCCCACTGTAAGTGGTACACATATGTAGAACTCATTGCGTTTGGATAATGTTTAGCATGGTGATGGGTTTGTGCATGTGTCAGACTGACCAATTAAAATCCAACTGAAAGTATGTCTACTTTAACCTTATCAGCACATGCAGTAAAATAAAAGGTTTGATTTAAAAAATATAAGAATTTGCCTTGCCACAAATGGTTGTCGAAGCTGAGTCTGTAGCATTATTTAAAAGGGAATTTGATATTTAATAAAGGAATGGGGAAAGGCAATGGAATATGGGATGCAATATAAATTTCCATTTATATAGCAACTTTCACATTGGGAAGACGCCCCAAGGTGCTTAACCATGGCTGAGCACCCAAGCTGAGAGGTGAGAACTGGGGAGAGAGGAAAATGACCAAAAGAGGAAGATCTTGAGACAGATCTTAAAAAGGATAAGCCAGGTAAGAGGAACTCCAAATTGGAGTTCCAGGGAGTGGGGCAGATAGTCTGAAAGCTCACGTGCTGATGGTGCGGTTGGTAGAGTGGAGGACAAGAAAAAAAGATTGAAGTGATGTAATTATCACATTCCTGAAAATTGCAGTGCAATCCAGTAATTCTGTAAACAACTTACTACACCCTCCCCTGACTTCAACAGAATGGTCGTTAAGTGACAAAGTGTTTTTGGAGCAGCTCGAGTGCTGTGGGATCCAGGTCAATCTCAGACTTAGTTAAGACAATATCCTTATAAAGTGACACTCTCATGTTACACTCAACTGGCAATAAAACAGTCACCATTTGTCTGAAGTCAGATGAGGCCAAATGATAATTATTAAACTGGTTTGGACTTCAGTTTTCACATTGTGTTGTTTTTCACTCCAACGTTAATAATAATATAATAATAATAATCCTTGCATTTGATAGCGCTTTTCACGTCGGGAGGACGTCCCAAAGCGCTTCACAGAACACACTGTAAAGTGAATTGACTGTATATTTGTGGGCGAACGCGGCAGCCAATTGCGCACAGCAATGTCCCACAAACGGTCGTAGATCGAGAATGACCAATTTATTATTGTTTTTGGTTTTGGAGGGATTAACATTCTGTTTCCAAAGTCTGTAAAGTGCTTTGAGTCGTCTCGAAGACGTGATAAGGCACCATATCAAATGCAAGGATTATTATTATTATTTCTCGGAAACAGCTTCAGGAATGTGTTGATTGCTTAGCTTTACAGTTCTGGATCAGCATGATGAGGGAAAGCCAGTTTAAAAAAAAGTGGGAAAATTATGTGTCATATTTCAATGTTGTGTAGAATTTTGAGAAAGAAGCATCTTAGTACAGTTAGGCACTGTGCATAATTGTGCACTTTTATTAGTTGGTGAACAATTTCATTAATTATTAATCTCTTAGGTATCCAAAAATGTAAGCCGGTTAATTTCAGTCTATTGGTTTATATGTACCATTGAACATGATGTACTGTTGGTAATGGATACGCAGAAACAATGTCAAAAGGTTTGCAGTATGCAACACTGTCAGACTTAAATAAAAATATGTACTTTCATTGTGGTTGAATGATCGGTTACCATGGTTTATGGCGTCGTTACCAAATGCTCATTACTTTGACGGCTTGAAAAACAATCCTCTGTCAACCCCTAGTCCTGGATTTGAGGAAGTTTTTGAAATCTTCTCACTGGTGCCATCAGTCTCAAAATAAATATTTTTCACAATTCTTTGCTTTTCCAAAAGCAGGTAACTAAAATTGGTGCCAATACTGTTTGGTGACATGGGTGTGTTGTAAATGCTTCAAACACTGAAGGATAATGTCTACACAATAAGAGCTGTTCTGTAAAACTAACAAAACCAAGAACCTATTGAAAATTACATTTCCACTGTTCTGAAAATATACCATTTATTTCCTTTTTCTTTGCTTCTGAGGTCAAATTTATTTCCTAAACATTGAGGACAAATTTATTTCTGAAACAGTGGAACATTGGCTCAAGAGGAGGTTAAGGGGATTGCTTTTAATTTTACAGAATACTATGAAGCATGACAGCCTGGCAACCTGATAACTCTTCAGAAGCTTTGTAGTTTGGGAAAAACCTTAACATCAACAAGGGAATGGGACATGACCATCACTGCACTCTGCAAAACCATCAAATCTGATTTTCTGGGATGTGCTGAATTCTTGCTACTGCTTGTCAGATCTCCATGATGTAAATTAGTGACAACTTCAGAATACTGCAGCTTTTGAAAGTTGAATTTCACCCCATTTCACTGATCAATGATTCAACAGGGATTCTTCCCACTCAACCCGTTAACTCTACAAGCCAATGCAATAATGGGATAGAGTGGCTCCAGCAGTACAGCAATTGCTACTGCCCGTCTAACATATGCACATGATTAATTTACAATTCAAATTTATTTTAATTTATTTAAGACTTCCATGCTGATTCTGTTCATGAATTGTTTTCTTCCTCTCCCACTTGTAGGTCACAAACCTGTCTTAACAGATGTACAAGCAGAACTGGACAGAATTGCACGTAAGCCAGAAGCTCTGTCTCCGACCCATACGTCCCTAACAGAAGATGAAGCATCGTGAAAAAAAACTGCTGATGGTTTATACTTCTATGTTTTTTGGCTTTGCCTCTCCCTTTTCCTTCAGTGTGTAACTGAGGATCACAAACTGGTTTTGAAGTAAAATGGACTTTAAAAAGTGACAACCATATCTGGCTCTTTCAATGTATGTAAGAAAACTATCAAGAGGGGAATAGAATGCTGCAAAGATGATTCTAGTTGCGGGGGTTTCTCTGAGGGGACAAAGTAAAAGTGATGAATGAAATACTGGGTCTTTGCATTTGTTTAAGTAAAACTCGTTTGCAGCCAGTGCTGGTGAGTTGGTCATATTTGCAAATATGGGACATTAATGTGCTGATTAGTCAATATGGTGCCTGAAGCAAACTATTGAATTTGTCTTGTTGGCCAGATGTATAGGAGGAAAATGCAAGCATGCAAAATACACTTCTGAGAAACTTAAAGATGAATTGGTGGCCAAATTGAAAACTGCAGAAGTGCAACACACTTAACTGTTTAAAGTGCTGAACAAAAGGGGAGAAATGCCTAATTTTGTATAGTAACCCACAATGTTTGTCAACGGCAGTGTTAAAATTACGAAAAGGGGTAGAGCTTAACTGCCTCAAGGAATGTACAGTACTTCAACTTGAACTGATCATTTTTTTGTTCTTGTTGCTGGTTTAGTACAATCTTAACCCCAACCCTGTCTGGTTTCTGTATTGTAGTGCTGTTTCTAATTACAGAAGGATGTAAGGATTGTAATCCTTTCATTAAAGTTGTATTTATTCTCTGCAACAGATCTAAAATATATGTTGGTTCTTTATTTAGAATTTAGAGGAAATTCAATAAATTTTCATTCCCTAAATAATTGTTGTCTTTACACACAAACTTCTAACCCTCTCCGTGAGTCCCCTATAGAGAGGGTACATGGAAGTATTCCAATTAAAAATAAAGTAAGATGTTACAAGGGAGTAAAGTATCTTCAATGAGGTTTCAATATTTCAAAAAGAGAAATACATTCTCAACATTCAGAATCATTACGATATGCCCAGACAAACTGGCATTCAATAGTCTTATGAGGATAAATTATGAATTCTTCACTTTGTACTGTAATCAATTATACTACAAGCTTAAGATAAGACAAAAATTAATCCAACATCATAAAAATAAGAAGCTGAAAGAATGAGACGGAAGGAAAGAAATTGAGTTTGGTCATAAGACGTATACATTTCATTTTAAAGAGGATTTTTATTACATCAAGTCTAAACTCCTTGTGCTATGGAGCAATTATTGTTGTGAAATGACCATTTGTGGGTAAGTGCAAGAGCCATTTGTGAACAGCAAGGTCACAAAAAACAGCCATGCATTTGGTAGAGCAGTTATAAACCCTCATACCTCTAAATAAGTTATATTTGTGTAGCACCTTTCACGTCGGGAGGATGTCTCAAGGGGCTGGAGTACTGACCACTTCATTTTATATTTCTGAAATGTTAATTATTTTAAAATCAACAGTTAAAAGTAGTTGACACTGCCATGAGTCTTAATTTCAACCATAAGCATATAATAATAATAATAATCCTTGCATTTGATATAGCGCTTTTCACGTTGGGAGGACGTCCCAAAGCGCTTCACAGGATATACTGTAAAGTGAATTGACTATATTTGTGGGCGAACGCGGCAGCCAATTGCGCACAGCAATGTCCCACAAACAGTCGTAGATTGAAAATGACCAATTTATTATTGTATTTGGTTTGGGAGGGATTATTATTAGACGTGTGGAGTAAGGAAACTTGCCCAAAGTTTCGCCCTCTGCCTGGAATTGAACTCAGGTCTCTCGCTTGCAAAGCGAGTGCTCTAACCACTGAGCTACAGGACTCCACAAGTATACATTTCATTTTAAAGAGGATTTTTAAGTCAGAGAAAGGAAAAGCAGCAAGTTACACAATTTCGAAGTGAGAGGGGAAAAATAAGTTAAAATAGAAGATGGTGATAATATATATATATATTCAATGTATTTATTGAATATATATATATAGTATCTATGTATTATTGATAATATATATGTTATATATATATTATCAATGCTATACATTGAATATATATATCAAAAAATTAATGGGTGCTTTGAGAACGAAACAAAATGATAATAATGCTTGCATTTGACATAGTACCTTATCACAGTTTCAAGATGTCTTAAAGCGATTCTCAGAATATACTGAAAAATGAATTGACTATTTTTGTAGGTGAATTGTGCACAGTAGTGTCCACAAACAGTCGTAGATTGAATGACCAAATTATTTTTTTAAAATGTTGAAGGGATTATTACCTCCAGAAAAGCAATCTGCCAATCAACTAACAACCGGGTTCCTACTTATTGCTAGGTGAATAGAGGTGTGTGTAGTAAGAAAACTTGCTATACATTGAATATATATATTGAAACGCTGTACACTGTCCAGCCCCTTGAGACATCCTGAAGTGAAAGGCGCTATACAGATGTAATGTTGTTGTTGTTGCCCAATGTTTGCCCTGCCCAGGAATTGAACCTAGGTCCTCTCGCTTTCGAGGCAGGTGCTCTAACCAACAACAACTAATTACATTTGTATGGCACCTTTCACGTCAGGAGGACGTCCCAAGACAGTGTACCACTAAGCTACAAGACTCCACAAATGATACGCAAAGCGGAAAGTGTTCCTCACGGTGCAGGGGATGATTCTTCTTCAGTAAATATTATGAATATGGGTGTGCCTCCATCACACTCAGTGAAAACTACAGTGGCAGATCAACATGATTGAAAAATGTACACCAAGATTAAATCAAATTGAATTTTAAACTCCTGTATCTTCTACTTGAAGACCAGACCAAGGCATTTTACAATCTTGAGAAATAAGAGACTGGAAGCTAATACAATGAGTTCAACAATAATAAAAAAGCAATTGTGAAGAAACACATATAGGATGATACAGACCTGAGAAGGAACAAGTGACGTCACTTCAGGAGAGAAGTAGCAATGATCATTAATACTAATCCAATAGATCGATGGGTAGATTGCTTTCTGGGGATAATAATCCCTTCAAAAAATTAATAAGATAAAAATAATTTGATCACTCAATCCACGACTGTTTGTGGGACACTGCTGTGTACAATTGGCTGCCACGTTTCGCCCACAAAATATTGTCATTCACTTTACAGTATATTCTGCGAAGAGCTGAGACGTCTCAAAGTCGTGATAAGGTGCTATATCAATGCAAGGATCATTATTATAACTTTGACATCCACATCAGGATTTAAGTTCATAACCCAGACAGACATGCTGGTACACTCTTGAGGGAGTGCTTTTGGTACCTCTGGTCATTTGCTAGGTCCTGGCCTATCTGATACCTACTGTTCACTGGCTTTAGATTCCCTGCTCCAGGTAACACCTTCCAGCAGCTGTCGCCTGAAGCCTCATAGTTTCCTCATCTGCCATCTGGCAGACATGTACCTTCAGGGTGGGGCCCATGGATGTTCTCGAGGGCCGAGTCCAATGCCACTTCTCATGTTTGCCACAAATCCACCTCATCTCTTGATCGACTTTGCAAATGGGTCAGAGAAAACCCCTCCACTGCGATCCCAGGAGCTTGGATTTGGGGGATTGTTGGCCAGGACACTGGGAGAAACTCCATTCTCTGTTTTGAATAGTGCCATGGGATCTTTAATGTCCACCTAAACCTTGATTTAACTTCTCAACCGAACCTCCAACAGTGCAGAGCTCCCCCAACATGTCGTTGGTGTGCGTCGCAGGATTTTGAAAATACAATAAGTAATAATAATAATTGCATTTGATATAGCGCCTTATCACGTCTTTGATACAAAACTAGATTTGCGCAGTGCCTTTCGGGCGGGAGTAGAGGGGGGAGTCGGGAGCTGGGGTGGCGGTGGGGGGGTAGGAGAGTGGCCAAAGGCGCAGTCGAAGAGGAGTCTTGAGACGTGCCTTGAAGGAGGCCGGGGGGGAGCGCTCCTTACGCGTAATAAGTCTTTTTTCACGATTGGAACACACCGCCTTTTAATTCTTAGAGTAAATATCACAGAAAGGGCCCACCCGGAAATCGAAACCTGTTGCCAATCGCTGAAAACAGGGACTAAACGTGTCATAGACCATAATGACGAGAGGAGGAGATAAGAATCCAACACAGAGAGAGTGAGAGGTGGGGTTTCCTTTTCCTTTTCCAAAACAACTTGACCAACTAATTGCAATGATCTCTCGCAACACAGTGCAATGCCATCTCTGATGTGTAGACTTTGCACAATATACTGGAGTGCGTGTCCTCTGCAAATACCCATCTGAGGGGGAGGTGTGAGAGTCAGAGAGAGAGAGAGAGAGTCAGAGAGAGAGAGAGAGGGAGTCAGTGAGAGAGAGAGAAGTCAGAGAGAGAGAGAGGAGTCAGTGAGAGAGAGAGTCAGAGAGAGAGAGAGGGAGTCACTGAGAGAGAGAGAGAGAGTCAGAGAGAGAGAGAGGGAGTCAGTGAGAGAGAGAGAGAGACAGAGAGTCAGAGAGAGAGAGAGTGAGTCAGAGAGAGAGAGAGTGAGTCAGAGAGAGAGAGAGAGAGTCAGAGAGAGAGAGTCACAGAGAGAGAGAGAGAGAGTCACAGTGAGAGAGAGAGAGAGAGAGAGTCACAGAGAGAGAGTCAGAGAGAGAGAGAGAGAGAGAGAGAGTCACAGAGAGAGAGAGAGAGAGAGAGAGAGTCACAGTGAGAGAGAGAGAGAGAGAGAGTCACAGAGAGAGAGTCAGAGAGAGAGAGAGAGAGAGAGTCACAGAGAGAGAGAGAGAGAGAGAGTCACAGAGAGAGAGAGAGAGAGTCACAGTGAGAGAGAGAGAGTCACAGAGAGAGTCAGAGAGAGAGAGAGAGTCACAGTGAGAGAGAGAGAGAGTCACAGTGAGAGAGAGTGAGCGGTAATGCGGAAGTGAAGTGCAGTGAAGCGGAGACAGAGACAGAGCTGCAGCTCCACACCCCAACAGCAGCAGAGTCGGGGCTCGGCCCCGGGCGGCAACTGGGCTTCAGCGGCTAAACCTTTATGTTAATACTATGTAATATAATATTATATATATATATGTGTGTGTGTGTGTATGTATGTGCTGTCAGACCCCGGGCCTGGGGGGGGGGGGGGAGTGAGGAGGAGGGGGTGAGGGGGGGGGGGGGTGAGGAGGGGGGAGGGGGTATTGGAGGGGGTGAGGGGAGGGGGTGGGGGGGGGTGAGGAGGGGGGGAGGGGGTGAGGGGAGGGGGGGGGAGGTGAGGGGGTGGGGGGGAGGGGGGGTGAGGCCGCGATTGTTATGGCGATGTGGGTCTGTGCTGCACTTTTACTCTCTTTCACTTCAACCCTCTCTCTCTCCCCCTCTCCCTCCCTCCTCCCCTCTCCTCCCTCTCCCCCCTCTCCCCTCTCCCCTCCCTCCCTCCCTCTCTCCCCCACCCCTCTCCCTCTCCCCCCCTCTCCCTCCTCCCCCCTCTCCCTCTCTCCCCTCTCTCTCTCCCCTCTCCCTCTCTCCCTCTCCCTCCCTCTCCTCTCTCTCCCCTCTCCCTCTCTCCCCCTCTCTCTCCCCCTCTCTCCCTCTCCCTCTCTCTCTCTCCCTCTCCCCCTCTCTCTCTCCCTCCTTCCCTCCCTCTCCCTCCCTCTCCCCCTCTCTCCCCTCTCTCCCCTCTCCATCCCTCTCTCTCTCTCACTCCCTCCCCCTCCTCTCCCTCTCCCTCTCTCCCCCACCCTCTCCCTCTCTCCCCCACCCTCTCCCTCTCCCTCTCTCCCCCTCTCTCTCTCTCTCCCTCTCCCCCTCCCTCTCCCTCTCTCCCCCTCTCTCTCTCTCCCCTCTCCCTCTCTCCCACCCTCTCCCCCTCTCCCTCTCTCCCCCACCCTCTCCCTCTCTCCCCCTCTCCCTCTCTCCCCTCTCCCCTCTCCCTCTCCCTCACTCTCTCTCCCTCTTTCTTTCTCTCTTTTTTCTCTCTCTCACAGATTTTTCCTTCCGACACCAAAAGCGAAAAAAGGGAATCGATCTCCAGAGCCCAACAACACCGGGAGGGGGAGAGGGGAGAGGGAGAGGGTCTTTAACATAAGGCTGTTGTTGTTGTTGTTGTTATTATTATTATATATAATGTTAGAGTTTGTCGGTCGGCAAATGAATTTGGCCCCAAATATTTAAGCGCCTCTGACGGCTGTTGAGGATTTTCGAGAATCGCCCACAAATTGCTGAGAAAGGAGTCGTTTTTCGTTCCAAACAGTTACTTTCGGTTTCGGGGGGAGAGGGAGAGAAAGAGAAAGAGAAAGAGAGGGAGAGAGAGAGAAGGAGAGAGAAAGGAGAGAGGGAGAGAAAGAGGGAGAGAGAGGGAGAGAAAGAGGGGAGAGAAGGAGAGAGGGAAAGAAAGAGGGGAGAGAGAGAGAGAGAAGGAGAGAGGGAGAGAAGGAGAGAGAAGAAGAGAGGGAGAGAAGGAGGGGAGAGAGGGAGAGAAAGAGAGGGAGAGAGAAGGAGAGAGGGAGAGAAAGAGGGGAGAGAAGGAGAGAAAGGAGAGAGGGAGAGAAAGAGGGGAGAGGGAGAGAAAGAGGGGAGAGAGGGAGAGAAAGAGGGGAGAGGGAGAGAAAGAGGGAGAGAGGGAGAGAAAGGAGAGAGGGAGAGAAGTAGAAGGAGAGAGGGAGAGAAAGAGAAGGAGAGAGGGAGAGGAAAGAGAAGGAGAGAGAGAGGGAGAGAAGGAGAGAGAGAGAGGGAGAGCAAAGGGCAGACTCGTGGCAGACACTGGAGGGTGGTCCTGTCCGGGTGGGGGGGGATCTGATCTTGAGGAGGAGTGATATTTATTTATATTTATTTATGTGTTAAACGGTGAGGGGATGTCGGGCGGACACGAGAACGGGGACGTGGAAGCTTTGCCGAATGTCTACCAAGCGACGACCGAGAGCCTCCCCGCCCAGAGTTGGCTCCGCACCTCCTACCTGCGCAGCAGACTGGGCTTGTTAAAGCTGGCCGAAGTGGTGAGTGAGTTATAACCCCTCGGGTACAGTGGGTGGGGGGGGAGTGGGTGGTGGGTGGGGGGGTGCTCCTTGGTGCTGACCTGACTCCCAGGTGACATGTTTTACTCTGGATTGTGGGATTCGAGCCGGCCCTCTCGCGGTGGTCTCGGGATGGAGCTCCTGAGCCAGGCGGGTCCGCAGCACTCCAGGCTTCCCCCCCCCACCCACCCCCAAATCATTGAGGTTCACGTGTGCGATGACTGCGTTCCCAACTGGGGAAACCGTCCTCGCAATTTCCGAGGCTGATCGTTCAGCCCTTGTTCCTACCATCCCGCCAGCTCATTGGAAGCGACAGGCATTAGGAGCCAATCTTGGGAATACCACTAAATACCAAAATATTTTCGGAGAGGGGAACGTGTTGTATGTTGGTGCAGGTTAATTTCTGATGTCCCCTTGTAATGACTCTCCTCTGGTGTCCCCAAGCCTTGACTCTTGCCAACCAGTGGCTAATGGTCAAATGCTCAAGAATTAGGTAAGCAAAGTGCGTCCTTTTGGGTGGAGAGTTCATATTCTGTTCCAGATAGGGGAATTGTATCTGGTTTGGATGCTCTTAAGCTTGGTCATGGTTCCCACATGTGTCAAACCAAAAACAAAAATGGTTGACCAAAAAAAATGTTTCAACATCCCTATTGATTCTACCTCTCCAGCTTTCTGGTGTAGGTTGTTCCCCTTTCACAACTTTGTGCATGAATAAACACTACCTGATCTGAGTTCTAACAGTTTTAGTTCTGTTTTTAAGTCTGAGACCCCTTGTGATGCATCTCCACTATCCAAATTGACAGTTATTTTTAATTTTTTAAAAATCCCTCAATCAAATCATGTTTATCAATATATTGAGTGGCCATTAACAGTGCAGATCATCATCCAGTACTCTTTCTGTCTTATCACATTCAATTTTCCTTGATGTTCTTCACCCTCATGTAATTCTCAGTGGTGATGCTGTGTCAGTTCCCATGGACCTGCAGTCATTGGCATTAAACAAATAAATTGTGGGGTACTGGTTGCAAGCTACCATTTATTTTTGGGGGGCTTTTGTTCTATTTTTAATAAATGGTGTCTTGCAAAATGGCAGGTGAATTCTGTGATCTAAAAGTTTGGGGTCTAATATCATAATCTCAGCTATACGGATGTCACAGTTAGGAATTGCGTTGGATCTCCCTCCAGCACTTCAAAGAATGTTAGAAGTGATAAAATATTGCATGTGTCATTAATTGTTCTTGTGGTTGTATGAACAATATTTCCTCCCATGAATAGTTGGATCCAGATTAGAATAAATGTAAACCCTTTCCATTCCATGTGGAGTCCTGTAGCTCAGTGGTTAGAGCACTCGCTTTGCAAGCGAGAGACCTGAGTTCAATTCCAGGCAGAGGGCGTAACCTTGGGCAAGTTTCCTTACTCCACACAGAGTCTAATAATAATCCCTCCAAAACCAAAAACAATAATAAATTGGTCATTTTCAATCTACGACTGTTTGTGGGGCATTGCTGTGCGCAATTGGCTGCCGCGTTCGCCCACAAATATACAGTCAATTCACTTTACAGTGTGTTCTGTGAAGCGCTTTGGGACGTCCTCCCGACGTGAAAAGCGCTATATCAAATGCAAGGATTATTATTATTATTCACTTTACAGAATATTCTGTGAAGCGCTTTGAGATGTCTTGAAGATATGATAAGGCTCTATATCAAATGCAAGGATTATTATTATTACTATGTACAGCAAAAACTCCCTCTAATCTTTCACTAAATGGCCATTTTTGCGCAACTATTTTTCTCTTTCCCTGAAGTTTGATGGTAGGCACGCTGTACAATTTTCAAGTTTAGACTGGGCTATTCTTCAAACTACTTTAACTCTCACTCTTCACTATCAAAACCTTAATGATGATCTATCTCACCGTCACCCAAGATTCTGCAGGTCAATTTGTGACAATGGTGATGAGGATCCCACAATTTCTGGATTGTGGGGATGTAATTCTTGAGATTTGATTCATGTGGTTGAGGTAGATCTTGCCTGAAGCTGGAGGAAACCAATCTCATTTCTTGTGAAGTCTGCATCAAATGCTTGGCGATGTCAAATGACCAACTGGTGACTATCCAGCTTAGAGATGTTGTAAGCGGGATCTTCTTGTAGCTGAACTCGCTCCAACGTGACGTGTTTTGCAACAAAATATCAGAATTAAGATGACCCTCTGTGGTGGTCTTGCTAATCCAGTTCCTGAGCCAGATGGGTCTGCACTGGGAGCAGGGACTCTTCCCACTCAGCTCCTGTTATTCCCTGCAAGACAAAGCCCTGACGGGTACAGTGGTCCTCGCTAGATAGTTTGGTTTGCATACTCTTAAGCAATGGAGACACCCGGCTGACGCCCAAAAAGGAGACACCCGGCTGACGCCCATTTGAAAGTTGCAGAACAAGTCCTTTGCTGAGAGCTAATTTTGTTCAGTTGAAAGTCAACCAGACCGAGGCCCTCCTGCTTGGCTCCCGTCAGCGCCTCCTCACCTCAGGCACTGACAGCATCACCATCCATGGTGGCACACTCCACCTTACTAAGCCAGTCTGGAACCTTGGCGTCTTGTTTGACCCTCAACTATCGTTTCTACCCCACATCTGCGTCATAACCTGTTCTGCCCTCCCCCACCTCCGCAACGTCGCCCGGTTCCGCCACTGTCTCACACCGCAGGCCGTCGAAACCCTCATACACACATTCATAACATCCAGGCTCAACTATACAAAGCCCTTGTTTGTCGGCCTCCCTAGCTCGTCCCTCCAGAGGCTGCAGATCATCCTGAACTCTGCAGCCTGTGTCCTCTCCCGCACCAAGCTCTGCGACTCTTATCGCCCCCATCCTCACCCGACTCCACTGGCTTCCCATCGCACAGAGGATACAGTTCAAGATTCTAGTCCTCACCTTCAAAGCCCTCCATGGCCTTGTTCCCCCCTACCTCTGTGACCTCCTAACCCTCTACCATCCTGTTCCCTCACTCCGCTCAGCGGGCTCTGGTCTGCTTCACGTCCCCCTCCTCGCTCGCCCCACTATTGATAGAATGGAAATTATATGTTATAAGACTTCTTTTTGCAGGGAATTGCTCATGTTCCTTTCCCCATCAGTGGCCCTAACAACACTCTTTACACTAAACTGTCCTGAAGGTTACTTTCCAAATGTAAATAGTAGTAATCTAGTTAGATTTGGTGGCCCTTCTGTGTTGGAGGAAACCAAGGTTCATCAATTGATTTTATGAAATCATTGTGTAAACGATAGAATCTAAACCTTTTAACAGTCAGAGCAGGAATACAACCTCGCTATTACTGAAGAAATGTCACTTTGTGTTTATTTTTAAAAAGAGGTTTATTGTCCCGGGTGAAATTTATATTCCATACACATCGGGTAAAAAGAAAAAGCCAGTTATATAGAAGCTTCTCTCCAAAGAGTTCTTTTAGTGATGACCAGGCAGCAGGATCAAAGGGGCCACCAAATGTTTGTACAACAGTCTGAAATCGGCAAACATGTATCGATTGGTTGGGAATCTGTGTTTTTATTTAGCATTGAAATTTGTGTGGTAATAAACGGTCGCTGCCCCTTTCTTTGATTGTAATGTTGCTGAACTCTATTTTCTCTCTTTAGAAAATAAAGACGTAAATACGTTTATAGATAGTTAGTTTTGCTCAGTTGGTTGCGTTCTTGACTCCAGGCAGAAGGTTCCAGGTGCAAGCCCCCATCTCGAGCGCGTAGTCTAGAATTATTTTTATCGGTCAGCCGGGTGTCTGACACATGCGGGAACCCATCGCCATATGTAAGAATATCCAAACCAAGCTGATAATTCCATGCATCCCACCTACACATGGAAATCCCAGAGATAGATTGTTGGAATGGAATGTACACTCGCTCCTTGGAGGGATGTATCGTCCTTACCTAATTCCAGAAAGTATTAGCCACAGGTTAGCAAGAGCCAAATCTTGAGAACCCCAGAGTGTACGTTGGTGGAATCCCGTCAGCGAAAACCGCACAGCTTACCATTGATATTGCTGTCTGGCAAGCTTTCCTGCTGCTTGTCCAGCTAGGACCACCTTAACCAATAGGGCTTTGGCTTAACAGGAGCTGAGTGGGATGACTCCTTGCTCCTAGTGACTAGTCTGCTCTTCCAGGTTCTACCGATGAGCCAAGTTGGCTCTGCTGTCATCAAAAGTGCCCTGGAATATTACAGTCCATTCTGGCTCAGTCTAGAATGACACTGCAGTGTAATACTGGGCAGCGCTGCATTGCGGGTGGTGGTGTCTTTCCGAGCAACTGTTGAAGCTAAAGTCCCTTTTGACTTCATTTGAATATTACATGAGATTTGAATATCACTACTCAAAAATAGAAGATAGTGTCTGCTGATGATGTGGCAGAATAATTATAGGCATTCTGGCTCATGGCAGTTTGTGGGATCTTGTGTGTATCAGTTGCCCCACAAAAACAGTCACTATACTTAGTGATAACTTACATTTGTTTGTTTTTCTTAGCATCATCATGCTTAGGAGTATCCAAACCAGAGTTCCATACATTCCCATCTACACTTCCTGTTTATTGGAATATAATGGGCAATCTCTCTGTGTAGGGGTGAACCCTGCTTACCTAATTCTGAGAGTATTAGGCACAGGCTGACAGGAGCCAAGGCTTGGGGACCCCATCCATACTGTGTTGGTACTGCTGGTATTTAATCAGCTACACGGAGTCCTGTAGCTCAGTGGTTAGAGCACTCGCTTTGCAAGCGAGAGACCTGAGTTCAATTCCAGGCAGAGGGCGAAACCTTGTGCAAGTTTCCTTACTCCACACGCCTAATAATAATCCCTCCAAAACCAAAAACAATAATAAATTGGTCATTTTCAATCCATGACTGTTTGTAGGACATTGCTGTGCGCAATTGGCTGCCGCCTTCGCCCACAAATATACAGTCAGTTCACTTTACAGTGTGTTCTGTGAAGCGCTT